AAGGTTGTTTGTTTACTGTTAACTCACATCCGAACCCTTTAGAGCAAATGTTTATTAATGTACATACAGCATGATCGGTTAATAAACCGCAAGCATTAGAAACATTATTATGTTGCAAATTTTAAACGGTTATTCAAAATTTATTCGTTTATCCCTTCCCAAAAATGTATGGCGTCATCTCGATGTTTTCCTAATAAATCCTCTCTCAAGTTGCAAAATATTATGACTATACATATACTTGTGGTTTATCAATGCACTCATAATTTTTAGAATTACTCATACAGGTGACTCAAAAAAAATAATGAATGAGACATTTATTGTATTGACTAAATCAAGAACGACTCACTCAATTTTCCCTAAAATTTGGAAATACAGTACCGTTATTGTTAATATCACACTGCATTCATCCAACTGGATATACATGTCCTTACAAAAATGTTGATCACAAAATTTTTGTAATGACAAAACTCACACGTTGGACGTTTGTTCACATTTACTTAACTTATAACGATCATCATAAAAAATCAATTTCCAAAATTAAATCTTCTAATATTCGAAAACTCTGGTTTTATTTACTATCGATCTTTTTTTTTATATTCATATATGTATCACAATTTTTCGATGTTACAATTTTTCATTTTTCGATTTTTCAGGTTGTCAATTTTTAATTTTTCGTTTCCTCAATTTTTCAAGTTCTTGATTTCCAATTTTTAGATTTTTCAAAGTTTTCATTTTATACGTTTTTTCCATTTCAGGTTTTTCAGTTTTATAAATTTTTCGGTTTTTCCATTTTTTTATACGAAAAGTTGAAAAATCGGAAACTGCAAATTAAAGAAATGAAAAATTGAAGCATTGAAGAACGAAAAATCCAGAAACTAAAAATCGAAAAAATTAATGAATCGAAAAATTGAGGATTTAAAACGAATAAATGAAAAAGTTTTTGAAATCCAATAAATTGAAAATCGTAAAAATTCTAAAATCGTTAAAATTGAAAAAGTGAATAGTTATTTACATTATGAGTGCGGTAGGTAACATTTTGCAGGTTGAGGTCCTAATTTGTCACCCGACGCGAAGCGGACGGTGGCATGGGACCGAAACCTGCAAAATGCCTAACGCACGAAAATTGTATTCAATTTTTTCGCCGACATTGATTTTATTTTAAAAAATATTTGTTTTTAAAAATATTTTTCGAAATGGAAATGAATGGTGACAGTTTCTAGACTTGACGTTTACTGAAGGAATCTATAATACCGACAGCCACGAGATGGCGCCATGTAATTTTTTTTTAAATAATTCATTTTTTCTAATTCAAAAGTTTTGATCGAACAAAACATGATGTAAAGTAGTATTCTAGTATGTTTTCTTTTAGTATTTATACAGAACTTTTTTTATTAGAGCTTCTAGAGGCTAATGCATATTGAATTACTTTGGCACCCAAAGGCGGTAAAGCAACGGTAAATTGATATTTGGTGCGTAAAATCATTGTTACGCGGCATGTCAAAGGTGTGTGAATGTTGTGTTTACATGTCAGGAGGCGAAAAATAGTATATTACATATCGAGGGTGGTAAGAAGCTAATTACGAACGAAGTTTATACACGAGCGAGCGTAGCGAGCGAGTGATGTAATATGAGTTCGTAATTAGCTTACCACCAGAGTTGTGTCATATACTTTTTCTACGATCTATAATGAAGAATCACTTTCAGAAGAAATTTTTTTGGGAAAGCAAATATTTACAGTTGGAAACTATTCAAACAGGCACGTAATATATATATATTACGTGCCTGTTCATTCATTACATGCCAGTGGGTGTAACTATGGTTTTACTATGAGGCTAGACAGTTCGTAATTCATGGATTACAATGTGGGAGTAGAAAAAAAAATTTAAATTATAATCATTACACATTAAACTAGAAAAGTTGCAAATCAAAAATTGAAGAAACGAAAAATTGAAAAATCTATAATTGAAAAAAAGAAAAATTAAAAAAATGTAGAAGTTGAAAAATCGAAAAATTGAAAACCAAAAAATTACGAATCGAAAGATTGAAAATTTTCACAATGAAAAAAGAAAAAATATAAAATCAGAACATTGAAAAACCCACAAATTGAAAAAAAAAATAAACAACCAAAACGAAAAATTGCAAATCGAAAATTTAAAGTCATGGAAAATTGAAAACTCGTGAAACTGCAGATAAAAAAATTAAAACATCCAAAAGTTGGACAGTCGAAAAACTAAAAAATTCAACAATGAAAATTGCAAATCGAAAAATTGAAGAAATGAAAAATTGAAATTGAAAAAACAAAAAAATATAAAATCAAAACATTGAAAAATCAAAAAATCGTAAAAACCAAAAAAAAAATAAATGAAATAATGAAAACTCGAGAAATTTTAAGTCGAAAAATTACAAAATCTGAAAACTTAAGAATGAAAAATTGAAAAAATTAAAATTGAAACAAGAAAATTTTAAATCCAAATATTAAACAATTGAATAATTGAAGAAAATAAAAACCTAAACGAAAAATTGAAAAATGAAAAATTGAAGAATTGAAAAATTCAAGTCAAAAAACTGCGGGAGTGTCATTTGTCAGAAAACCAAAACCGCAACAAATTTTTATATTTTTTTCAAAGAAGTGGAATTTGTTGAGTTGGATTTCAGGGGCGAGGAAAGTTCTGTCGAAATAATCTCCGACCAATTTTTGTATAAAGTATTAACAAAAATTTGTTCAGCAAGCATGTATCGAGTGTGTGTTGAAACGGCTTAACAAATCATAGTACATGTTAAACTTGTATGTATTCCTACCTAAAGTCGCGGTTAAAAAAAATATATATATCACTATATTACTTCCGAGCGTAAGTTAAGAAACTACACATAGTAATTGAATCCATCGGACGACTTGCCAGTTGTTTCATGTTTTCTCGACGTTTTATGAGTACGAAAAAAGTGATCTCCCGTTTCCGTCAGTCTGTCTGTGTGTCGTCTGTGCCAATTTTTATTAGACACAATACAACTATATACGTACTCCTAAACTTGTGTACGAAATCTCTTTCAATTCTCTAAACGTTCAAATTTTCACAAAAACATTTGCAAGGTATATAAAAAGGTGTTATTACCAACACGAAGTATATAGTAAACTCATTTGACTTGTACCTAGTAAAGCTTTATAGACCCATTAACGGACAATAGAGGGCAAAAAGTTTACTATAAGCATTCTTGCCGCACTGTATCTTTAGGAGAACGGCGACCCGTGGTCGAGCGTTCGATGTCAAACTTGCCGGTTTTTTTTTTCTATTGTCGTATTAGTCGTATTGTTGATGACGTTATCACAAATTGGTTAACTTGAATTCCATTTTCCCCGAAAATGCGAAAATAGAATTATAATGCTCAGAACATTCTATTCGACTGTTTCTCAAAACAGACAAACTCATTCAAATCAAACTAATTTCTACGTGACATCCTTTCGATGTATCAATACAAACACTTGAACTTCAGATTGCTATTATCTAATGCTGAGAGGTAATTTTATTCCGTTGATTGTGTGCTTTAAATATATTTTACCTTGCCCGTATTTGGGGGTGTTATTTATGCCGCTGGTTTTTACTTTACAGTTGTTATCACAACACAAAAATCGCAAAATCAGGTTTAATAATGTTTTAAAGAAGCTGGATTTGTCGGATTATACTTCAAGGACGAGGGAAGTTCTGTCAAAATAACCTTATACCAATTTTCTTTTCGTTTCAAATTTAAATCTAATAAAGGATATTTAATTTTATTTTAGACAAAACAGTTGAATTTTATAATACTTAATAGAACGGATAGAAATACTTAAATTGTGGCGTCGTGACGCAAACATGTGTCTCTTTTATAGCTAAATCCATCTTGAAATACAGTAACTTTTTTGATTACGTCACTACAATGGTAATTCTTTTAGTCATCACTTGGTGCACTTGTGGTGTAAATGAAATATTACTCCAAGAACAACAAACCCCATAAGGAGCTGCATCTTATTTTGTCCTCCATGTATCACTTGGCACTTATCAGGTGTGTGCCAAACTGTCATTGTATAGGATTTTTTCTTCGTGGTTGAACATTTCTTATTTGTTATTCCTGCCAGTATTAAATTACACGCATAAGAAACTGGATAACGATACAAAGAAAGAGCTCTTGCATCAGATCGATAATTTTTACATCTTCTCTACTGTACCACGTCAGAATCGTACGATGGAGTGGTTACGTTTTTTCCTAATTATAGAGACACTTGCATTTGCCAGTCAGTCCATAAAGGAAACATCTGTAACACAATTTTATACGGTGTAATTAATTAACCACTACTTCAGTAATAAGTAAATAAGTAATACAAGACATTTTGAAAATACCGAACGTCAAACTAAATCGCGTTTTGTGTCAAATATAATGTTGTCAGCTCGTTCTTTCATTTGAGTTGAGGTGCAGCAAGAAAAATTTTAAAATGTAAAAGTAAAATTATTATTTCTACCCTCCACGATTTCTAATAAGTTGTCTTTCACTACCGTCGCTATTGCACCTCGCCCAATAGTTTTCATTTGCTGAAACAAGTTTTACTTTATTCATTAAGTAACTTAATGCAATTAAGTAAAAATAATTGTATGTAATTTGACATTTAAGAAAACGATTGTAACATGGAAAAGCATGTGATTGTTTTCTTCGCTATTCGATTAACTGTGTAGAAACAAAGTGTTGGTAGGCTACCTGTGGAAAATATGAGGTACACATGAAACATATTTGTGTCAACTACAGCCCAAATTAAAATAATTATACGAAATTTTTTATGACGTCAAGCGTTGTGTCTTTGTGTAGGCAACACATTATACATTAAACTGTTACGTAGGTGCGGTTCACGAGAAAAAAATTAATATCGTCAATTATTATTAATACGTACTTAATTATGGATTATAATTCTTGAGAAAAAAAAACAGCATTTAATAAAATACGTGAACCTTTATTGAATTTATCACTTGTTTCAGGCTTGGTCCGTGCGAGTTACAGGACCCGGTGTGGGCCAAGATGAGCGCCTTGGCCACCGGTGTCAACAAGAAAAGGAAAAAATCCGAAACAAAACCTCAGGCGCAAATGTAAGTATTACCGATTATTTTCTTTTGGATCTGAGGATTAAAATAAAATAGTATATCACTCTAATGTTTCGCTGACGGATTATTTTATGCACGTCGTGTGTGCCAAGCAGAAAACCTGACAAAGCAGGTACACTATAATCCGCATCTTCTAAGAATGTGGAAACCGATAGGAAGTGCTTAACTGCACAATGGACGAGCGCAATACAGTTTTGCTATTATCAGCATCACAGCGTATGATGTACTATTCTTTTCAAGTGGAAGTAACCCTTTAGATATTCTTCACGTGTACTCTACAGATTGTGGCCATTGTTTCATAATGGTAATTGCTTCTGTTTTAACAGTAACAATAAATATGAAGTGTAATAATGGTATCTGGATTTCCCATGTATAGACGAAATGTGGGTCAGGTTACGTTGCATGTTGTTATTATAGTGGATATTTTATACATATGAGTGGCGAACAGTACGTACTTAACATGATGCAATTTAATTACAAGTTGGCCCGTTGTTTTGGAGTAGAGTAAATTTTATTAATTTTAGACCACTGACGTATAATTACAGTCCTCCATGGACATATTTTAAGCGGAGAAGCGTATCAGAAAACGATGATGAAGCACAAAGCTAAGTTAAGAAAAATGCGAACAGGTGTTCTTCTTATATTGCAGGAACGCTTTCAAGATGGCGTGAACCCTCGTAACCTCGAGAATTCTTGGGTCTATCGCGGTTAGTACGTGGTATGAAATGATTAACATTCGGTGTAAGATAAAAGTAGATTCTTTCTCGGTTACTATACTTCACATACTAGGAAAAGATAATGTTGCCGATGAAGGTGAGGGTACAAATGTTAGAATTAAGCCTTGTTTACGATGCCCTAATAGGGTTGGTTTTCTGCATAAATATCTTTGTTGCGTGTTTCGTGGAACATACCAAAACAAAATACCTTGAGAAATAGATATACTTTTAATCGCATCGTTCCCCTCCAACTTCTGTATTTTTCTGTGTCGAAACATGCTGAGCAAGCTTTTTGCGTGTAGTAATTGTCTGTTAATCAGAACAGCAGTTACGTTTTAATCGCGTCGAAGAAACGTACTTGGTTTGCGGTTAACGAAAATGAGTGATAAGGAAAACTCTTGTTTCAGCAACAAATGCAACAATGAAAAGCGACGCCGCGAGCAAGAAAACATCTACATAGAAGAGCTAGCTGAGCTAATATCCGCAAACTTCGCGGACATGAGCTCGTTGTCGGTGAAGCCGGACAAGTGCGCTATCCTTCAAGAAACCGTCAACCAGATCCGTAGCATCAAGCAGCGGGAGTCGACGTCGCAGTCCTGCGATCCCGTCCAGCAGGGAGAGGTCTCCTCGTCGCGGCCCACCATCCTCTCGAACGAGGTCTACGGCCCGCTGCTGTTGGAAGCCCTGGAAGGCTTCCTCTTCGTGGTGAATGCCGAAGGCAAAGTCGAGCACGTTACCGAGAACGTCTCCAACTACATCAAGTTCAGCAAGGAGGAGATCTTCGGCAACAGCATCTACAACTTCATCCATCTCGGCGACCACGGGCGCTTCAGCGCGAACTTGATGCCGATGACCATCGGTTGGGGTAGCGACCCGAATTCGACTCGATCGCGCTCCTTCAGCGTGCGCTTCCTGGTGAAGCCGCCCGACGACCAAGACGAGACCGTCGAGGAGAAGCAACAGCGCGTCAGCTGCTACGAGCTGATGCACATCTCGAGCACCCAACTGAAAGACCAAGTGTCAGTTACCGAGGACGAGGGCGGCGACAGCGGGCCCTACCTCCTGTGCGTGGCCAGCCGGATTTCCCACAGGGACAAAGCCACCACCGGCATCGAACAGTTCACCACCAAATTGGACACCTCCGGGAAGATTATCGGGGTCGATGGGTCGGGGGTATCGGGGCAGTTTTCGCAGTTCATTAACAAAGAACTTTTGGACCGGTCGTTCAGGGATCTGGTGCCCCAACAAGAAGTGCACAAACTCAACGCGCATCTGAGGGATACGATTAATGTGGGACAGTCGACTAGTACAGTTTATAAACTGCAAATTAGTCCGGACAAAGTCGTGCAAGTGCAAACCAAATCGAAACTTTTTAAGACTAACCCACATACCTCCACAGACACCGACTTCATCATGGCCACACACTCCATAGTAGGGTAAGTAAACAATACCCATTTCTAGATACAGCTAATTGATTTTAGAATGATACTGTGCTTTGTTTGGTTCTTTTAAATACATGTATCATTTTTTCATAACCATAAATTAATATTTACCAAAATATATATTTGATTAAAAATTTACTGTGGCAAAATTTTTCTTCATGGTCTTAAGCTTCGTGTTTACGAAAGATTATATGATTATGGCGAAGATGGACACCCATCCAAAAATGGCTTGCTGTTTGTACCATTGCATGTAAACTAACCCATGAGACAAATCCAGCTTCACTCTCACTGTTTCGTCTTTGATTAATTTTGGATACAACCAATAAAACGTACATTCGTTATGCCTCAACTGCTAGTCAGTCCATAATTTTAATCAAAATTTATTCGTTTATCCCCTCCCAAAATATTGATCACGTCATCTGAAAATTTTGTCGAATAAATCTTCGCTGATATTATGCAAAATATTATGTCTCTATACTCGTGGTTTATCAATGCACTCATAGTTTTTTTAGAATTACTTATACAGAGTATTAAAAATAATTAATGAATGAGGCAATTTATTTTATTAATTAAATCAAGAATGACTGTCCATTTTTCCGAAAATTTGGGAATACTATATTGTTATTGTTAGTGTTACATCGCATCTTTCTAAATTGATATACGAGTCATTGCAAAAGTAAGAAACGTCGTCATAAAATTTTGTAATGCAAAAACTCACTTGAAACAAACGTGTACAACGCTTCTTTACCTTTACTTTAACATGGCATACCTAGATATTTATATCTTATAAATGTTATCATAAAAGAATAAAACTCTAGAAATAAAATGTTATAATTTTTCAAAAAAGCTGGATTTGTTATACTGTACTTTAGGAGCGAGGGAAGTTCTGTGGAAATAACCTTCGACCATTTTTTTTTAGTATCCGTGGTTACAAATAATGACTGGATGATTAATCATGACGATATTAGTCCCTATTTCCTTACTTTTTTTTGTTTCACAACCTATAAATTGTAAAACGGGGCAGTAATGTTTAAATAGCAATTTTAATAGGAAGAATTTGTCGTTATATATACAGCGTGTTATTGAAAGGTACGTACAAAATAAAATCGGCAATTGGTCTCTAAGTATGGGCGCTAAAAATGAAAAAAAGTTCAGGTAAAAGTGTTCTTTTTTTAGAGATAAAAATTATTAAAATATATGTCCAAGTTCGTTGTACGCCTCTGATAAAAAGATCATCTTTCGTTTCTATAGCAACATTTAGTCTTGACAAAACTTTTACTGTTCCAGTTGCTAGGATTTACTAAAATAAATTAATTTTACCTATTTATCCTTCAGTAGCGTCTAATGGAATGGAGTCTATTGGATTAGGGTTAATTTTCCCCTTGTAATTTTGATAACACAAAATAAGGTTGTACGTACCTTTCAATAACACCTTGTATGTATCACATATACCTGTACCGATGACATACTATCTTGGACAGGTAGGAATCCCACAATGATTTTTTTTTCTACTTTCCGAAAATATTGTTAATAGAGTCCGTCCAGTGAACGATTGATTTCATGTTTATTTAACTTGAGTCTTTATTTAAAATGTGCAAAATATTATGAATCTATATTTGCACTTAATTATTCCATTCATATTTTTTAGAATTACCTATAAAAAAAGATGACGTGATGTTATTATGAAAAACTCACTTAAAACATACGCATAGCATGTATCTGTATCTGTAGTTTAACATTCTACACATGTACTTTTTTGATCGTAGGGGTGATCTTAAAAAAATTAAATTGGCAAAATCAAATTTAATGATCTTTCAAAAAAACTGGATTTGTTTAATTATACTTCAGGGGTGAAAAAATGCTATCCAAATAACGTTGGACCAACTTTTCTCCTACTCTTTTGAATTTTTAATTAGCAAAACTTTTGGTGAAACCTACACTGCTATGAGGTCTTTTTATAAGTAGCACTTTTTAATATATGAATAAACGAAACCTTTATTCATATCAAAAATTAGTCAAAAATGTTTTAATTTACCCACCGTGAACTTGTTTTCGCAGGATCTGATTTTAAAGATATATTTAAACTCTGCGGGTTTTTTAACAAGTTAATTAGAGTCTCTAATAGTTACAGAAAAACTGAAGTCAGTTTGTAGGCTACCATTTTTATTCTTACTGGTGAAAATGGAGCACACATTTTGTTGGCGTCGTTCCGGTTCTAAATATCATACTTAAGCAGTTCTTTGGAGGCTTTTTTATTGCTAGTTAAATCTAGTACAACTTCTTTGGAATTTGAAAAAAATAAAAAACCGTGTTTTGATGTTTTTTAATGAGGATGACAAAAAGTGTTCAAAACCTGCATTTATGAATAAGCATTAACAAAATTATATATTATCTACACATAACTAGACAATTTAAAACCAAATGTAAACCTTATCTTATGAGAATATATTTACATTTAAAAATGTAGCTAAATTTACAAATTGTAACTTTTAATAAGAACGTATGAAATATTTAATTTTGTTAAAAATAATAACGAAATTTTTGTGCCTTGCACATCTTTAATTATTGGAAAATGGAAACCTTCAAAATTACGCCTTTGATATATACATATTTTTAAAATAGTATTTAAACGAAGTTTTTAATTTTTTTCTGCAATCAATAAAATCAATACTGTTTGAGCAAGTTTATTTAAAGTTGGTGTCCGCATTCCTTACCGACTCATCAAAAAATGACGCATTGTTAATAATCTAATTAGCGCAAATATCCTTTGTTTTGTATATACAACGAGTACGTCGTTTTCAAATTTCCGAGTTTTTATCTATACCAATATTATTATTGATAAGATGATGAATCAATGCATAGATAATTTCTGCCCATTTCAAACAATAACGTAGTTTTGAAATGTGTCACAATCGCCATAGGTTGCTCAACAATATATTCAGACAACAATAATATCAGTAATTAAGAAGTAGAATGAATAATTTTGGAAACAGAAATGTCGTTGTTAAAAAAATTATATTACTATCATATGTAAATGCAGTGGTTCTGTTGTAAACGTTTAACCACAATTCGAACTTGTCACATTAAGTATAATAATTCCATACTTTCTCTTTTTATTGATTCTTTGTTTAACTCAAATTAGAAATAGGCTACATGAAATTTTGTAAATTGCACTTACAAACTGTTTAAATATTTCTTCAGAAAATTGTCATGCTAATTGTGAAGCACGCTTTGTGAATTTAGAACAATTTGTAAATTGCTGTGTTAACAAACACTATTGTTAATTTTATTGGCTTTGTTATGCAATACCGAAACATTAATTTTTTCCAATATTGTTCTGTGGTAACTTTATTCAAACGAAACAAATTCAGAAACACATTTTAATTAGTTTTGTAACAGTAACATTGGTCTAATCGCTGCCAAGCCGCTATTGACATTGTACAAATACTAGAGTAGAAAGCAATGATTTTCATAAATATTTCCGCTGAATCGCACAACTATTAACGAAGCTCGAAATCGTCCATCTGACGTGTTTTAGTCACAAATAGTGATGATTTTTGAGTAAATATTAAAACCCTCTTGAGAGTAATTTGAGCGCGTATAATGAAAAACTGTGTCAAGAACAATGCTTTTCAATGTCAAATTTGACGCTTCTAGTTAACCCTGAATTTTTATTGATGACGAAAAATCTTGGCAGATGTGGAATTTTGTTCATGCTTGAAGTGCGAAAAACATGTTAATGGCTACTTTTATTTTCATTTACTACATAAAGCTGTAGTATTGCAATTCATTTAGGGAAAAATACCCTTAAAGAATGTGTTTAACGGAAAGTAAAATGTATTTTTTTTTATTACTTTGATGAGATTATATGTCAGTCCCGCGGCATTAAAGAATACAAATAATGAAAACAAGAATGTAAAACAAAAATATAAACCACCACGAAAAAATTTTGTTTGTTCCTCCTTGGTTTATTTATTTTGCCGTGACATTTCGCAATAAACAAGAATTAGTAGATGTTGCAAAATTGCAAAATATGTAGTAACGAAGTACGCATGTTCAGAATAATACCAGGTTATATTGGTTTAAAGATATAATAGATGATGTCTCTGATTATGCTGGATAATATTCACACGCAGATGATGTTCATGATGATAACCCATTAATTGAATAGATAACTTTTATAAGTTAGTTAAGAAGTTTAAAACCTTTTTGTGTGAATTAATAAGCGATAACAAATCCATCTTTCTGTAGCATAAAAACATAAAATACGAGATTTTTTAAAATAGTGTAAATTTTTTCACATATAAAATTATTTCAAATTCGACTCGGACTTGACTGACATTTTTGAATAGTAATTAGTGGAACTAGATCTAGAATTACAAAAAAAGTGGAGATAGAATAATTCACTATACAAATGTATTGCTATTTAATTTTAAAAGTTTTGAAAAATATCAAGAAGAAGAATTAATTAAAGTTACAGCTTTCCAAATTTTGTGGTTTTTAAAGCTTTAAATTGTTCACCACAATTCTCAACTTAAAAATGTTACATGGGCAGCTACAGATCAGAAGAAAAATGAATACTCCAATAAAGAATTTGATATTAATCGACAGTAACTACTATTCTAAACAATGTTAATTTAATAGTTTTGTTACTGACTACAAAATTCTTAAAAAAAATCAAATCCAGAAGTATCTGATAACTCCTTATTTCTTGAGAAATCAGAACACTTTTTTTTTTTGTAAATCCTAATACTGCGAAAGTAAATTCTCACTCCCCAAGAACTTCTGCGTACAAACTAAAAAAATTGGCCGAAAGTTGTTTCTACATAACTTCCCTCACACCTAAAGTACAATGAAACATGCATTTTCGAGTCGATTTTTTTCTTTACATAATTTTGTGATGACATTTTTGCAAGGACACGTTTATCAACTTGGATTGGTGCAGTATAATACTAAAAATAACAATATTGTATTCCCAAAATTTTCTGGAAAAATGGAGTGAGCCGCTCTTGATTTAATCAATAAAATAAATTGACTGATTCATTGATTTTTTTTTAATCAGCCTGTATAAGCAAATTAGAAAATATGAATGCAGTGATAAATCACAAGTATAGACTCGATCATATTTTGGACATTTTAGGATAGGATATATTTGGAAATTTTGAGTTCACGTCATCAATTTTTTGGAGGGGATAAGCAAATATATTTTAATTAAAAATTTGTCATGCTTAGCATATCTTTAAAACATCTGCAAGATTTCAAAACATTCAAAATAATATTGCAAAATGTTTTATATTTTAGATTTTTTTTCCAAAAATCTGGACGTTTCGGGGAAAAACTCAATACGGAGTCATAAACTACAGGTGTAGGACTATGTTATTTTATACAATTTAAAACCCATTTACTGTGTACAATTTTGAAGTGACGTCATAACATTATTTGTGGGGATGATTAGAAAAATTTTGGTTAGCGTTTTACCATCTACATGATATTCCTAATATAAATACCAGTACTTTCCGATATTATCTGTCTAATAAAAATCCGGACGGCAGACCGACAGACGAACAGACAAACAGACGGAAACGGGAGACCTAGGTCGAGAAAACGTAAAAGTAGAGAGTCGGCCGACGGACTCGATTACAATATTTCATTCGCCTACACTCGTGAAGTAAAAATAATAAATAAGTTAATAATAAAATTATTATCGATTTTTTAACAAATGACACTTCAAAATAATTTATGCAATCGATTAAACCATCAAAATATCTTTCAAATGGAGGCTACTGGAACCAAAGGGTCCAAATGACAAGGTCAGAATGCATACTGCGAAAAATGACCTGTTTTTTGGATTTTTCTCGAAATAAAACAACGATAGACGTATTTAAAGTGACTTTTTACATATTGAAAAATGTCAGAAAAAACTGTCGTTAAATACAATAGTTTATGACTTAAATAATGAGCCCTATTACTCCACTACTATAAGACGTTGGATTACCTCATTTAACTGATCCTCTCAAATGAATGGGATAAGTACATTACCACACTCGTTTTTCCAACACATAAAAATCTTCTTATATGTGAGCACATATATTGTGTCACATATGCATTGGAAATAGTCGGATGTCAGAATGACGTCACGCCCAGATTTGCCAACTTGAATGATCCACTGTTGTTATGTATTCTTCGTCTGTGTTCAATAAAAATACCAATTTTGGTGTTTATTATACCATTCATAAATATACACCAACGCTTTTACATGTATAATTAAATATTACAATTCGCCCAGCTTGGATCCGAGTCAAACAATTTTTTATTGCAATGTATCCACCTTTCCTCATTAATTTACCAACAAAAAAATAGCTAAAATGAATCCTTTGATCTTGAATTTTAAAATATTCGTTTACATCAGTCATGAACATCACAAATTAACACTTATTTATTTTATATAACACAGTAAAATCATATTTTTCTTTCGCCGACCAAAAAAATAAAATTTCATCTCCATTCCAGCGAATACGATGCCATTGGTCCGACGGATCCCGGAGGTGGAGGCACCAGCAGCGTCGGCGGCCCTTTGATGACCAGCGTCGTGAACGGCACCCGCAACGGCACCGCCCCCGTCAGCTCCGGCAGCGACAGCTCGACGACGTCGTCGAACGCCCTAATGAACGCCGGGAACACTTCCTCCTTCAGCACCTACACCATCGAGAACGACTTCTCGTTCGAAATCTTTCCGACGTCGACGTTCGACCTGGAGCCGCCGGGATGGACGGAGCCGCGGCCCGACTCGCGGCAGAGCGCCACCCCCGTGTCCACCCCCACGCCGCGGCCGCCCAGCAACCCCGCGTACAGCCCGGCCACCACGGTGGCCCAAAGCCCGCTGGCGGCGTTCGTCACGCAGCCGAGCCCGTCGACGCCCGCCGCACCCAACCCGTACTCGAGCACGTTCCCGTTCAGCCCGCTACCGGAGCAGAACTACGTCGAAGAACCCAAAGATACCAAAGCGAACGTTTTGGACGAGGCGTCCACCATGATGGCCGAGTCCGGTAGATTAAGGAACTTGTTGACGAAGCCTCCCACCGTCGCCGATTCCTCGGCGAGCAACGCCAACGACAGCAGGAATAAGCACACGATATTGAAGTGCTTGCTGAACCAGCAAGACGAGGACGACAATAGGAGTGATAACAGGACGAGTCCTAGAGGGGGGCTTGTCAATAGGGGTTCCGTTGCGGGACCGTCAGAGTTACCGAAAACCTCCACAGAGAATCAGATGTTGCTACAGGTGAGTGAGGTAGCGTAAAATACACGCTGACTTTTGACTTTGAGTGATAGTGGTTTTGGTCTGTCTATTTTATCAACGTAATCTTATCAACTTATCATAAGTATATTTTTATAAATGTTAAGCAGAATTTCCTTTACGTTTTTTTACGCATTAAAATTAAGTGCGTACAATATTTTTTTAATAAATTGCAGAATTTCTAACCGTTTCGACTTTACAAATATAAGTATTATCAAAAGAAAATAATCGAAATCGGTGACCCTGTCAGAGGCGCAAAATATGAACGGCCCATTAAGTTGTATAACATTTTGGTTTTATGGTGGTTTTAAATAATCAAAAACGTGCAACCATGAAAATCATTTTTCACTGTCATTAGTGATAAGGACATAAAAGCGATAAATAAAATAGCCTATGACGTAGGTCATTTGCTTCATCGACCGAACCCTGGTCTTTTTATTTAATTCATTAACGCTAGTTTCGGAAAATTTTGCACAATGTACACACAATTAAATGTTCAGTACAAAATGTCAACTGCAAAATGTATTTAAAGTAAATGAACATGATGTACGTACTAGACATCACAATGAATTTCACCTTACATCTTAATTTTATAGAGTAAAATTCGTATCTAAGAAGTGTAAGAAAAGTAAATCCTTTTAAAAACTGGGTGTACATGGTGTCATTTAAGAATTACCGACTACCTCTTCTTTTCGCATTCTTTTATTTATAAATAAACTAGCAAGGTTCGGAACATTTGTTAGGATAGTATTTAATGCCGAATAGTATATTATTTGCAATTTTGCAAATCTCTGAGACGATTCTGAAATTTAGAGATTAAAATAGTCAAGTTTAATTGCAACAAAAGTTAGTCAGAGATGCTTACCAGCACACTTAACAAAATTGTGAGTCTCTGGTCATTTGGATTTGATTTTGTGTTCCAATATTTTAGTACAAATCACTTGCTTTCACCACTAAAAGTTTTTACCTGCTAAACACATGGTGTACCTTATTTGTTTTATATAGAGTTGGTTTTAATTTGTTGGATAAATATTTACATATTTTGCAAAGCAATGCCTAAAATTGTAATAATAGCATTAGGTTGAAATCTTTGTCATGGATCCATGATGAAAACTTAAGTCATTCTTTAATTTAGGTCGTAGCAGATTTTTAAAAAATAAATTATATACACACAAAATACGCCATTTCAGTATCATAAATCATCTATTCGTTTCTTGTGCAAATGTCTAGTTTCTCCAAAAAGAATACCATTAATTTTCAATTTTAACCCATTGCGTTGCGGTAGCCATTGTCCGTTCCAATGACATTTCTTTTATGATATAGGCAACCAAATAAACATCAACCTGGCAAAACCAAATGATCCATGAGTGCAAGAATTATTACAACATTTTATATATTATGAAAGAGGAAAAAAAACTCTTTAAAAAGACCTTTCGTAGGTACAAGCTTAGAGCGCGTGAAGAATAGTATCTCCTGAAGTAATCATTCGCACAAACATTCAGTGTCATTTTTGTAATCAGAGCGTTAAAAAAAAAAACTTCGTAGAAAACCCCTGGCTAAGTGACTGAAATTTTGTTGTTCAAGGGAAGATTTTATTTAAGAATTAACAATTTGAGTACTTCATTTAGTTAACAATTTTTAATACGTTTCAAGAAAAAGGATCTTGCTATTATTAATATTACAAGTACAGTTTTACCAAAATTTGTTTCAAATTTAAAAAAATGCCACGAATTCCGTCGTTCAGACGCCATTATCAGTGATGTAGAAAAATTCAAGGCGTCTGTAAATATTAATATTAATACAAATTTAACGTCGCTTATAGCCTTGGATTTTGTAACCATTGAAAATCGATAAAAAGTCTTAAAAGTTGGTTGCTTTGAATTTTTAACCATAAAACTAGACAATCCTCGAGAGATTTCGGTTAGGTATCATCATATGAAGAATTATTGGCTTCCAAAAACGTAAGGGCAAAAATAAGCACTGATTTACGAAACCTCAAGTAAATTTTTGATGCTGGATTAAAGAAACACGTAACCGACTCTACGCCAATCAGATGTCTCTAAACGCCTCATTAAATGCGTGATTAACTTAATATACACATTAAAATATTCTATAAACTGGCGCCTAATAACTACTTTTAGTTTGCACTAGATGTACATATTTGAGATTTGTTTAGATGTTAGTCGTATAAGATTAAGGAATTGAGCAAATGTTCGAAAAAACAACTTGTTATATGCACTATGAATATGGCCGATGAAAAATCGTGTCAATTAATATTACATTTAAACGAAATAAAGAATCAAACTGAAATATGAATAAGATATTATTAATTGTTTGTTTTAACTACAGACGACTGTAGAGAATAAAATGTTTTTTGTGTAAAGATAAGCACAAGATGGAAAAAACAACTGTATAAAACAGATTAGACGCTTCAGTTTGCAGTGAATAAATTACCGGTGCTCATTGCTATGGTAACGATATATCATCAAACGCTTTTATAATGAAATCATGCCCTTTTGTTTTCGTAATTTAGGGAGCATATAATTCATCCTTCACAGAAACACTAATTTAGAGTCCGTACTTGACTTTTAAATATTATTCTTAATTTCAACAATTTTGTTTTTTTTTTCTGTATATACAGCTGGTTTAAAAAAAAAACGGGAAAAGATGAACAAATCAGGTTCTCATAGATCAATGAAAATGGGAATATGACGTTCATGTCACTGTCATTTGTCCCGTGTTTTTTTTTTAAACTAGCTGTACATAGTTCCGTTGAGACAAATTCTTGGTTGAACATATTTTTCTTCAAAATGTATACCTGTCCAATGTCTGTACACAAGAAATGCCCCAGACATACATATATGTTTGCTTGGCTATACTATTATTAACCTATTTATCACGTTTTTCGATTAATTTTGTTGACATATATCATGTTTGTTGACTTTTTCATCTAAAATAAATCTGAAATAATTTTTGTGGGAGTTAAGAATTTTCCTTTCATCATAAAGCAAGTAGTTGCCTCGGCAACGGGAGTGGAACACATTCCGAAGTCATACAAAATGTTTCCAGAATTATTTAATAAAACCAATAGACCCTTAAATTTTTGTCGTTCCTCTGGTAGTAAAATACATTTTTGTTTAATAAGTTGTTGGTTAACGACAGAACAACAATGTAGTACATCTACGTAAGTTACCACTATCTCACTAGTACAAATACAACATGCGAATTCCTCATTCTTGGATTCTCCGTGGATCTGAATCCTCGACATTTTTTAAAAAGTCTACGATTTTTCATTTGGCATTCAACCCCACCAAGACATATTATTCCTCTAAGCCATTTTGATAGAACTGTATGCTTAGATTGGATATAAATTCTCCAATTTTTATTAATGCCATACGTCACTTTTACTATTACATAAAACTTGAGTGTCATAATAAAATTATGATATTTGACACTTCATCCTATAACGAAGATCAAAAAACAAGTCTTTATGTTATACAAATTATTTGAGTGATTAAGCAGTAAAGAGTACATAAATTATGTTGCTACAAAAACAACATACAGCGTATTGTGTACGTGATTTTGCAGTACATACATATCAGTTATATTTTTATCCACTTACTTACGATATATTATCTCTAGGAAATATTTACAGTAAAAACATAGTTTAGATAGTTTCGATTAGTCGTAGATAACATCTAATTAAACTAATTTAATCACCATTAATTGTGACGTCAGAAGCTCAACGACAACTGACAAAATGTTCTTGTTAGTATTGAGGCAATAACGAACACACATTTATATTACAATTTTGTTATTCGCAAGTTAATCCCAAGTGTTTTCCTAAGTTACTTAACTTTAAAATACTAAAAATTCTAAATAAAATTTAAGATGAACCCAAAAAATTCTCGTAAATTATATATTTTATATATAAAGACCATTAATGGTGAGATGAGTTGCATTCTTCCTTGTATGAATGATTTCTAAGGAAATGAAGTGAGTCATGCTAAATGCAAAGCAAGAAGGTAAAGTGATATCGTACCACACTGTAACCGCGGTTATAAATGCGTAATATGTATGTAAATTTTGTGTAGATAAATTTTTCTTTTTTTTTAATCAGTATTATTTTTGGTCCAATGTTTATATGTTGATTTTTGAATCTTATAATTTAATAGGGAGTGGTACAATTTGGTTCTTATGTTATAAACCATAACACATGGAGGGTTTTGGTCCCCGTTTTCAAGTAAAAGATTTTAATCAGCGTGAAAATGCATGGAGAAATTAGAGCAAAGATTATTATTATTTGTCCCTTCGCTTTATACTTTGCCATTTTTACACTTGGTGATGTTATTCTAGTTTTAAATAAATAGTAGATTATTATGTAATTTGGGTCACTGCTGATTCATCGATAGGAAATACGTACTTGACTAAATTTCAATATACACACGTTTAGGGTGAAGACGAAATAAACCCAAGCAATTGAAATAAACACTTAGAACAATTCATTGTAATCAAAATAAGATTGTATTAATTGTCTTAGTTCACATATATATTTATATATTTAGAATGCACATTTATCACTTGAACAACATTTAAAATTGTGTTTGTAAACGTAGACAAATACAGCATATTGTGCTTAAAGTGAATGTTATCACCCATTACTGAATTTTTGAAAGTCGGCCATTATTAGTTTACACACAGATTTCATGTCCCTCGTAGTTAAAATCACATCAGTTTTGTGTTTACCAAGCATAAACAATATTTTATGGTCCAAACTCAAACGAAGTAGTAAATATGATATTCAACATACTCTAACAAACCTGATTGTTAATAATAAATCTTAGCCAATAAAGAACGAAAAGTTTGTTTTAACGTAACTAATTTCAGAATTTTAGTATAACCAACAAGCAGTTTAAGTTGTGTTTTTTTCGCGCTTCATGTTCGTAGCTTGTTCGTCGTGTACCGAGTCCGTGCAAGTTTGTAGTTGCCGAAAAAATGGCGAAAGCCTGAGTTCTCGAGGGATTTCTTTACCTGCTCCAAGGCCCTTTTATGCCTGCTATTGTAAAATCCCCGACAATCCTCAAATACAGTTATAACATGCACAATACAGAGTATCTGGTGTTCTGTTGTCGTCGTCTCTCTGTCTTTGTCGTGCGCAAAGCATTCGTTTCATTTTGTGTACCCAAGTACAAAATATTATCTGATAACTTTTCTCAGTTGGCAGTTCCTCAATGTATGAGATAAAGCATTTACCTAACCGGCAGACAAGGAGCAACATGGTTCGGTGAAACGGAATTTGCTCTTCTATTATTTGTGTATTTTTTGTACGGACATGTGTATGTTTGTGTGTAAATAGTGATCATGTTAACCGTGCGTAGCGTAAGGGTCTCCTAATTTCCTTTTTATTATAGCTACGATTCGAACTCATTCTATATTGTTAGGTTATCTTTCGTAGCCGTTCACTGTGTTTGTTTTTTTTATGAACTACTCGCAGTTACGACAACTTGCTAACATTTTTGTGATTTTCTTGTTGACTTTGAATTGTTGAAACAGATAAGCCGCAGATAGTTATTGTTTTGACTCATTCCTTTTCTTATTTGTTTATTTAGTTGCTGAACGACAGAAGCGACGACGACGATAATCTTGAGGCGAGAGCTGGAGTAAGAAAGAAAAGCGAATTACTGCATCAGCTGCTCAAGAGCGAAAGTCGAGAAAACGAAGACGACAAGAAAAACGAAGTAGTTCCAACAACCGAAGATTCATTATTACGTAGTTTGGGTTTCACGCCGTCACCTCCAAATGATGAGCTGGGGAGGAACCGAAAGAGACCAAGTGATGATAGGGACGATCCTGTTTCCAATAAAAGGTCGTCGGACGGATCTCAGGTATTTTTCTCCTGTAAACTGTGTAGACTTGCACTTCCTAAAACATGAGTTAGTTTATTACTCAGTGCCTTCTATTTGACGTTAATTTGATAATTTATGTTCTTTGTACATAGTTAAGAGTGTTTAAAAGTGATGCATTGATTTTCACAAATAAAAAGCATGAATGAACATATTTTAGATCTAACTCACAGAAAAATCTGCGTTTATAGTAATATTCGTTTCTTAAGCCAAGACAATTTAAGTGGAATTTTCAAATGCAGTAGACGAAAGAGTTCTTTAATTGGACTAATTTTTAGATTTTCAAATTTAGTTCCTCAATTTTAACGACAAAACTTTTTCTACTTCCGACACGCATTATTAGTTTTTTATATTTGTCTAATGGCCAGAGACCGACTAAAACGTAGAAATATTTTTTGTAGTTAACGATATCGATTCGCATTTTGTGTCTACTGCATGTTTTGAAATGGAACACCTAATTAATTCAACTGCACATCTCATTTTGTGTGTCTCCATTGTGTTCAAAGTAAATAAATACTAGAAATTTTCAAAAAATCTTGATAATTATGTAATCTTTATATATAAAAGACAATGTCCCGACTGACCTATCAACGCCCGGCCCAAACCGCTAATGCTAGAAAGTTGAAATTTGGAGAGAATGTTCATTTTATGCTGGAGGCATCGTTTAAGAAGGGATTTCTCGAAATTCATCCCCTAAGGGGGTTAAAAAAGGGTAATAAAATTTGTATAGGACCCATATATCTACTGTAAATTTAGATCGTTACATGAAACCTGGTACATTTTAATTCTCTTCTATACAAATAAGGAAATACGTATTGAAGCATTTTCGGAGATTCGACCCCTACGGGGGTGAAGAGTGGTGTCTAAGTTTGGGCGGCTAAGTTTGTATAGGAACAATATTTCTACTATAAATTGAAATTTTTACGTGAAACTTGGTATTAATGTTTTTCAACACAAATAATGAAACCCGTCTTTAAGCATTTTCTAAAATTCAACCCCTAAAAGGGTGAAATGTGGAGGCTAAGTTTGTACGGGAAAATATTTCTATTGTATATTTAAATTTTTACGTGAATTAATGCTCTTCGACACAAATAATGAAACACGTATTTAAGCATTTTCCGAGATTCAACCCCTAAGGAGGTGAAAAGTACTGGCTAACTTTGTGCGGGAAAAATATTTCCATTGTAAAATTAAATTTTCACGTGAAACATGGTATTAGTGCTTTTAAACACAAATAATGAAACACGTATTTAAGCATTTTTCGAAATTCAACCCCTAAGGGGGTGAAAAGTGGTGGCTAATTTTGTATGCGAAAAATACTTCTATTGTAAATTTTGGGGTGATGTTTATTTAAAAGTTGGTATTAATGCTCTTCAACACAAATAACGAAACACGTATTTAAACATTTTTCGAGATTCGACCCCAAAGGGGGTGAAATGTGGTGTTTAAGTTTGGGCGGCTAAGTTTGTATAGGAACTATACAAACTTATATAGAAATATATATTTCTACTATAAATTGAAATTTTTACGTGAAACTTGGTATTAATGTTCTTCAACACAAATAATGAAACCGGTGTTTAAGCATTTTCTAAAATTCAACCCCAAAGGAGGTGAAATGTGGAGGCTAAGTTTGTATGGGAAAATATTTTTATTGTATATGTATTTACATTTTTACGTGAAACCTGGCATTAATTGTCTCCAATACAAATAATGAAGCACGTATTTAATTATTTTCCAACCTCTAAAGGGGTGAAAAGTGGTGGCGAAGTTTGTATGGGCAAAAGTATTTCTTCTCTAAATTTAAATTTTTACGGGGAACTTGGTATTAATACTCTTCAACACAAATAATGAAACTCGTATTTCAGATTGTTTCGAGATTTCACCCCTAAGAAGATGGAAGGGGGTGACAAACTTTTTATGAGCAAACATTTTTTATGTCGATTTTTACTGGAAATTGCATTAATGTCCTTCAACACATTTTTTACTTGAAGGTTAATAATAATGCTCTTCAAAATAACGAATCGTCTACGCGAGCGAAGCCGCTAGTTTAATATAAGTCAATAAGTAAAGACTTTTTTTGTAGACGTATGTATCTCGGTTGACCAGTTTTCTTTCGAAAAAAGTTCATTAAACTTTTATTGTTTTCATCATTGTTTCAGTTGTATTATTTTTTATTATATCTAGTTTATATCTATTTAAATTTTGTGGTATTGTATGCGATAGAGATATTAAAATGAAATTTTAATCATTGTCCACAACTTTTTATTTTCTGCATTACACAAAAAATGCAAACACGTTTTTTAAAGCTTTTTAATTTGTCTTATTAACATTTTTCTTTGTTTAGTTGCCAGTTCAAAATTAACATTGTTAATGTAGTATTTGGATTGTCGTTATTTTTAAAATACATTTGACGGTGAATTACAAACTGCTAAACATATCAAACCAAGAAGATTGTTAATTGTCATAAACTTTACGTTATCAGAATTAACTGCCAAAGTTCATTCAGTTCTTTTTACTTTCCGAGACGAAACTTGAAAAGTATTGTAATACGATCTAATTTAATGTTTTCTCGACGTTTCATAACTTCTAGATTATGAAAAAGTGGGTTGTCTGTCCGTTTATACAAAACTCATTTGGCATACACCTTGTAAAACTTTTATGACTTAAGCGGCTTAAGCCAAACCAACCTTATAATGGACCCGAACCGCAAGGATTATTACTGTCCATTGTTGCCATAATGGAGCTCTAAAGTTTTACTAGGTATGTGTAAACTGAGTTAAGTTATTAATTAGCCAGTTTGACTTATAAGGGTGCTTTGGCTTAAGCCGCTTAAGTCATAAAAGTTTTACAAGGTGTATGTCAAGTGAGTTTTGTATACATTCGTCTGTCGTCTATCATCTGTGTTAACTTCATAAACAAAATTTTGGAATAAAGATAGTTGTCTAGGTGCTCTACGCGTGATAAAATTTCGTTGCCTTCGTTTTCGGTAAAACCGCAATTTATAATAATAATAATAATAATAATAAGTATTTATTAACCCAGCAAACATTTTATGTTTAATATAGGGTATATATCAGGGTAATATATATATATCATATAAATTCCAATACAAAATAAAAATAAAAATAGAAACTTTCTCTAAAGTCTAGCTAATGTAACAAAGCTGTTCTAGCATTTTCTATAAATTCAGATATATTTACGAAAATATCAACAAACTGTTGCACGTTATTATACAATCTGACCATATTTACCAATGGAGAGTGCATATGTTGGTTAGTGGATGGTGTATTGAAAGTAAATGTAACTGAAGAGCGGGTACCATATTTAGGAACATTAAAATTAATTTGACTCAACAATTCAGTACAATCAACAGTACTATGGATTAACTTATACAAGAATAGTACACTACAAAAATTTCGCCTAGAACACAATGTAGTTTCATTAAATTCTCTCAATAATATTTCATGTGGAAATTGTTTCTGTGGATAAGTACCATATTTGACAAAATACAATCTCTTAAGAAATCTTCTTTGAACCCGCTCTATGTCACTAATATGTACATTATAAAAAGGGGACCACACCACGCAACAATATTCTAACTTGCTTCTCACTAACGATGTGTACAACAATTTTAAACAATTTACATTTTTAAATTGAGACGTGTTACGTGTAATAAAACCTAACATTTTAATAGCTGAATTAACAACATAATTTACATGAGGTACAAACGAGAGCGTGCAATCCATAACAACACCAAGATCCATTAACTGCATACATCTTTCAAGTTCAACATTATTAATATGGTACCTGTATCTAATACTTTCCGATTTTATACTAAAAGTTATTATTTTGCACTTTTTGTTGTTTACTTTTAAATAATTATTACTACACCAGAGTAGAAATACATCTAAATTATTTTGTAAATACTCACAATCATTTTTGTTTGTAATTATCTTCACAATTTTTAGGTCATCCGCATACAGAAAGAGCTTACACTTCAACACTTTGACGATATCATTAACAAACATTAGAAATAACAAAGGCCCCAAGTTCGACCCTTGTGTCACACCTGAATAGACTTGATATAATTGCGATCTAGTGCCTACATAATCTACATACTGAAATCTGTGACGTATTAATGAACAGAATAACTTAATTATATTATCACATAATCCATATTGTTTTAGTTTGTTAATTAACATACAGTGATCTACTCGATCAAACGCCTTACTTAGATCGGTATATATAACATCCACCTGTTTTTTATTGTCAAGAGCATTCGAAACATACTGCACAAATTCACATAGGTTGGTCACCGTTGATCGACCTTTTACAAATCCATGCTGCTGCTGTGCTATCATCCCCGATACATGACTAAATATAACTTTAGCTATCACTCCCTCAAACAATTTAGCAAAGTTGTTCAACAAATTTATGGGTCTATAATTGCTTACATCATTCTTAGATCCTGATTTGAAAACTGGACATACCCTCGAAAATTTCCATTTTTTGGGAAAATGCAATTATAGCAATTTATTACTGAAAAAACTTCTTTCTGTAGATTTTCAGTCGTGCCTATCAATCGAAAGTAACATATAAAGTAAATAAAAAATGTGCTAGAATTTTATTTATCTTTTACTTTTGTTCTCAGGTCTCTTCGACAGGTTCAGGAACAGGGAGTAAATTATGCGAACGAAACAAAATGTTGGCCTCCCTGCTGGCGAAGCAACCGAACAACCAGAAACCCATCCCTCACATACCCGTAAGCATTTTGTCGGCGGTGCCGCAGGATGCCCTGCGGAAGATTTCCGCAGGACCCGATGCTGCTACAACGACCAAGCCCATGCCGACGCGACCCACTACCTCCGTCACGCAGCAGCGGACAGTCGTCAAGAACACCCTACCCGACATCTCGCGGATGGGCAGCCGACAACCAAATACCAACTACCTCAATACTATGTTGACACATCCGAATAGTATCCATCATCAGCGTACGACGAATAGCCAACAGATGACTCAAGGTGATTCGGTTTCGTATGCGTCGCCACCGACTTCCAGTACGGACGGAAATATGGACGCTCAATTATGGGGTGATAATAATAATGTGCATTCGAATGATCCTCTGTTGTCTGATATTTTGGATCAAGTTATGGATATTGTGCCGGATGAAGTCGGGAGAACTTTCGCGCACACGGAAGGGCAACAAGCGAACAATTTTCAGAATGAACTTAGCGAAAAAATGGCGATTAATATTATACAAAAGTCGCTGATGCAGTGTGAATCGGCTGTGAAAAGTCCTTCGTCACCGACAATTCCGCTACCGGGGACGCCGCCGGCATACACCCCGGTAAGTACTCGTACATACAGATAAGCGATACCCTTTAGAATCGTATATCTTTAAAATTGATAGAAATTTTAAATTCTGTAAACGTTATTGTCTTTAGCTGGAAGGAGGTACTTAATTAAGTACGTCGCAACTATTATGGTAACATTGGAATAAAAAGTGACAGTGACAATTAACTTTACAATATATTGAAGGATTTAATTTAATAGTAATTTAACGTTACTATAATTACTGTGCACGCACAGTCCTCACTCATGTCACAGAATTACAAAGAAAATAATGCCAATATTTATATTAAAAGTTTTGCAAGAACAATATTCTATATTTTGATGGTTAAGTGCGCAAGAAATTGCGCAGACGTTCAAAACGTAAACTCAACGGCCATGTTAAATCTGAAGGTATTAATTTATTAACAATAGATCAGTATACATACTATTACTAATACCACTGAGCAACACAATTCTGACTGCAAAAATCCATTCGCGCTACTGAAACAACCAGAAACGTATATATTTTGAACATATGTTTACATCTTCAGAACGGATAGAGATATTGAAATTCTGTAAACGCCATTGTTTTTAGCGCAAAGAGGAAAGTTTAAGTTAGTACACTTCAAATATGATGCATTGCATTGTAATTTTTTTTACGGTTTATAATAGACCATTAAATTGCGATTACAGTGGTACCTACTTATACATTTATTTCATTTGCAGTTGATAAAAAATAAATACATTTAAGAAGTGGAAAAATTTCGACATCTAGGATATCTTTTATATTAGGAACTAAAATAGTTCTCTTTTTCATAGTGCTTTCCATAATTTTTTAATAAATAATCTGCCTGAAGAATCGCTGTTATTGTAACATTGAGGATGAAACACTAAATAATGTAATGAAAGTTATTTAACGATAAATAAGAAAATGAAGCACCAATAAAAAAAATTTCTTTCACTGGAAAAAAACTAGCGCTAATTTTAAAAAAAGCTTTCACCAAATTTAATAGTACCCTAAAATGAATATATTTTTCCAATTAGAATCTTTGTGGCAAATTTCTTGGTGCCCAGTGTATTTGCTTGATATGTTTGATTTTCAACGTAGCGTAGGATCGTTTACGATGGTTTTAATTTATTTCGCAATACTAGAGAACAAGTTTCCATTTGGTTCATCTTCGCCAAAAATTTTAAGACGTAATCATAAAATTTTGATAAATTGTGAAATTTATGTAAGATGCTCTTTTCTCTTATTCTTACTAAATTTTACAGTTTGTTTTTGAACTTTTTTAATTTTGGTTCGAAGCACTTATTTAATTATTAAAGAATGGAGAGCATCGATTAAAATTATTTATTCATCACTACTACATATGGACTTGATGACGTCATCCCAAAAATTTATTAAAAAAGTGAATGCCATAAAATATAGCTCTAGATGCAGTACACTGTAGTGTTGTTTGTGCTTTGATAATGTATTTTTGTTTCTAAACTTGAATATTTTATTCATCAAATCTAACGGCCCAATTGGAACACAGTATTGTTTAGATTAGTATTACAACACTGCACCTATCAAAATCGATGTCTATTTCCAGGAAAAGGTTGATCATCTCATCACAAAATTATATTAACAGGATCTCACTGTCAATATAAAGCAAAGCACGTGTTATAAATTAATATGTTGGTTAACTGTATTCAATATGTTTTAGGTTTTATCAGAAAAAGTATCTAATTTTTTACCTTCGTTTTTGTTTTACTTCCCGAGCGTTAGTTAAGAAAATAATCGAGTCCATCGAACGACTTGATATTTTCATATTTCTCGACGTTTCATGACCTCTGGAACACGAACAAAGTGGTCTCCCATTTCCGTTTGTCTGTATCAATTTTGTTTGACCCATAATAATGTTCGAAACTATTGAACCAATTGTTTTCAAAATTTTTATGTATAGTCTTCCAAATACTACTAACCTTAATAATGCGATGTTATAATTCCTTTTGTGCGGTTGGTTACCGACTCGAGCCTAGCGTCATAAATCAAGGATTTGTCTCAATATCTACTGCTGGGTGGGTAATCCGCTTAAACATTTTTGGTACAATGACAATCGGGATCAGGTAAAGATTGTCCAGAATTATATTAATTTTATGGACTCCCAACGTTAATTCATTTTACAGCCCAGGCGTCAATTCTATTGTACAGGTAAAGAGCCTGTCAGGGGAAAGCCGATGTTTTCTGTGCCTGAGTTCACTCCGCTCTTCAGCTGTACAATAAAATTGACAACAGGGCTGTAAAACAAAATAACTTTGGGAGTCCATAAAATTCATATAATTCTGGACAATCTTTACAGTCGTAAAGATTTAGAACTGTGGGTTTGCCTTATTATAATTGCTGCATTGTCGTCTTCACAATACACAAATTTTACAACAGCGATATAACTTTGTAGTATTTGGGAAACTTCCTAACAATATTTTGCAGTTTAACTGTAAAACTGCAAAACCGAATGCTCTGAAATCTTGTAAATATTTTAGGGTTATCGTAATTATGGGAAATATTAATCAAAATTTATTCACTTATCCCCTCCCAAAAAATTGATGACGTCATCTAAAAATTTGAGATAAAAAATCTTTTCTGAAATGTGCAAAATATTATGACTTTACTTGTAGTTTATCAATAGAAGAATTAATTATACAGACTGACTCAAAAAATTAACGAATGCGAATTTATTTTATTAATTAAATCTAGAATGATCTGCTCTCCATTTTTCCGAAAATTTGGGAATACAGTACTGTTAGTATTACACTGCATCTATTCAAATTGATTACGTGTCACTGTAATGGAAAAACTCACCTGAAACATTACATACATATGTATCTTCATTTCGACTTATAAGGGTTATCATAAAAAAATAAAATTCGCAAAATCAAATCTTACAATTTTTCGAAAAAGCTAGATTTGTTGCACTATTCTTCAGGAGCGAGGGAAGTTCCATCGAAATAACCTTCAACCAATTTTTTTTTAATTTCAAAATTGAATTTTCCTACTATTTAAAAACGTCAAAATAGTGTTTGCCGTATATTTCAATTAGACTGTAGTTAGAAAAATAAATAAATGACTCGGTGCAGAATTAATTGTGTTCCAGAGACGAGGGGAAGTATTTCTGATAACTTTAAATCAAAGGACAGCTTGCGGGAATATCAGTGAAACCAGAATCAATTTTTATTGCTTGTTGCCTTAACAGCAACATAGCGGAAATACACCAATTAAATTTATTTGCACTATTAGTATCATTCAAAATAACATTATTCTCCATTAAGGGAATGGGTTTTGTTTAGATTTGTTGGTGGAATTCTATATAATCCGCCAAATGTCTTCAGTATTATTATTGGCGTTTTTAATTCATTCGTTATTAAAGGATTTTTATACTTGACGGCATCAGATTTTGGTATTCGTTATTTAGTGAAAAAAATCTAAATTTAAAAACGACTTCCGTCCATCGTTAATTCCAGTAATTCAGGTGTTAACTGCACCTGTTACCGTGATAATTCAACTATATCTTTTTTAGTAGAAGAGGTTTTTTAAAGGAGAAGTAGGGCGTTTTACTAAAGATTAGCATCATTATCGACATAAATAGTTTTCCAAATTTATAAGTTAATAATGCTTATTATGATGAAAGTATATTAAAATGCATAGGTGTGCTGCTTTTCTGGCACATATCTTGTTTACAACGCATCTTCAAAAACTTGTTTAGGTAGAACTTAACGTGTTAACTCAAAAGGGTTGTAAATAACTAGATTTTTTTTTATTTCAGTTCCACAAATATAACTTATTGATATAATCAACGTATTTAGATAACAATGTATATTTTTTGTTCTTGGTATTGTATTATGCCACTTGTAACGCTTCATTCCTTTTGCAGAACACAACGCAAAACAACCAAATGCGCCCATTCCCCCCGCCTCCCAACTACCCTCAAGGCGGCTTCATCCCCAAGCAGCGTATCCCCGTCAGAGCGGGAACTCCCCAGTATGCAGTTGCTAGCGGCAACCAACTCCTTCTTCAACGTAAACAACAAGAAGACAGACGCCGTCTTCTTCAACAGCAACAACAGCAGGAACTCCTAATTCCGTCCAACGCTACAGCAGCTGAAATTAACTCGGGTTTACAAAATATCGACAGCCTTCTCAATAATACAGTAGCGCCCAATGTATCCTTACAAAGATCCGCCAGCTTACCGGAGTCCCAATTGTCTCCAAATTACGGGAGTCAGTTGAGCCAGCAGAACCAGAGACTCAACAGCCAACAGCCGTATTCGCCCCACTCTCAGTTGGTGTCACCCATTGGACAACAAGCGGGATTCCCTCAGACTTCAGCGGCCAATTACCAGCAGGCTGCGGCGAGGTTGTCGCCGCAGTTTAACCAGCAGATGTCGTTGCGGCAGGCGTACCCTCAGGGAAACGCGCAGGGACAGAACTGGCAACAGAACCAGGCTAGGCTCAGCATGCAGAATCCCATGCTTAACGCCCAACTCACTGTGAGTACTATGTAATATAAAAAGGACATTTACACAGAGTGAAGCTGTAAATCTTCAATTTTTATTAATGTCACATTATTAAAAACAGCTTTTGATAAATGGAGTGTTGCAAGATTAATTCGAATGGAAATTGGAAGGATGAGAGATTTATTTGAGTTTAATTTTACAACACTAGTTAGAAATTGCTTTACTTTGGGACAAGAGTGTCTAATAAACTATTGCTTCCGCTTGGTGTAAATGCTTCTTAAAATTCATATATTTTTCACACTCACATTACAAAAACATCAAGTGACGGTTTTCAAAATTAATTTAATTTTTAATGCAGGGGTATAGATAATTTATTGCCAATTATATATAAATTCTGTTGTTGGTAACAGAGATACTTTGATTCTTCCATTTTGTGATTCTTAAAAAAATCAACAACGTTATTTAATATTAGTAGATACGAATTTGCTTCCAGTTAAATTTAAATTTTTATCTAAACTGATACCGTATCTTTTTATTGTATTTTAATATCTAAAGACACTTTATAAGTGAGTGTTTTAGCCAATAAAATAAAATTATTAGAATAATAAAAAATGAAATGGGAATTAGTTTTTACATATATGTCACTAATGTTGGTAAATTAATACTAATTACGTAGCCTTTTTTTATCTTATAAATTACAAAACGAAAACTTTTGTACAAAATTATTTTACTGTGCAAGCAGAATATTCAAATAATTTGAGTACTAATTGTTTCAGTCTAAAAAAGTAATTTTAATTGACAACATGGTTGCAAGCGTTGTTAAAAGGAAGTTTTATATTAACTGATAATAATAATAAAAGTGTATTCCTTAAACACATACAGAAGCTAACTACTTACACAATTACGCCGCATGTACGCCAAGTTATATATTAATACAATGATTACAAACATTTCACATTGGTTTTAAATTTATCTTGCAGAAATTCGTCAATTGTATAAAAATGTTTCCTCAGCCAAATATTTTTTAAAACATATTTTAAATTCTTTGGACTCTCACTTTTCAAATGTTGCGAAATGTGATTAGAAATTATTTTATTTGATGGGTAGTCCGATTTCTTCATGATTCAGGTTAACTTCATATTAAAAATCCAATATCTTGTTTATTTCTGGTATGATGATAGTGAACGTGAGGTCTGGTTATGTACACGTGTTTATTATCATGAATGAAACGTGCGTGATATATAACTGCTTCATTAGGTTTATAAAACATAAAATACACGATCAAAGTTTAGCCATTGAATTGTGAAAGTTTGTCTTTGATTATTGCGTTTTCTACTCAAACCTTTTTTTTCCCTGTGTAGGTATGTAGATGCGTAGGAAGATTTTTTTCTAAATAAGTCTAAATGTTTTCGCAATAATGCTAACAAAGTTATAAGCTCTCTTAAACTCGTTCACGTTTTAAAAACGATTGCAGGTGACACTAGAAAATTTAAAAAAATAATAAGGAGAAATAGAACACTTTGAATATTATATTCATACAAAGACAGATAAAATTTGGGATCTATGAATTCAAAGGAAAAAAACGCCAAAAAATGTACTAATAAGAGTAGTAACCTTATAGATAAAAGTACAATTTCACGTGCATCGACTTTTCTCTAGTACGTGTCTCATTTGGATGCAGATCAAGAGGAGTACAAAAATAGAATACGTAAAAGGTTTTTTTCATTGTACAGTTTTTAGGTCACTATCACAGATTTCACTGATTTGAAAAAAAGTTTGGTTAATTTTGTAAAATTTTGTATTATCAATTATTTGAAATTGTATTGACGTATAGTTTTAATATGAAAAAATGAAAATTTGTTTGATAACGTTGCTGAAGTTTGTTGATTGTGTTGCGTACGTTTTAGATGTCCTGTTGATTCGAAAAGTCATAACTAACGCGAATTTGTTCTAAATTAAATTATACATTTCCGTTCTCTTTTATTGAAACTAATGCGTATTAATTATATTCCGATATTTAAAAGTTAGGTAGCTTTAAAAATTCTGTTACGTTAAAAACTTAGACTGGCTCATGTTTACTTCCTTCCATTAACTATCTCTGATAAGTTAAGTTAAATATTGGAATTGCGTTCACAATATTTTTAATTAAATCTTGAAGAACTCATTTTTGCTCATTACAAAGGAATTTTTAAACTTAATAAAGATTCTACTATTTTAATAAAGTTTGTTACAAAGCGAGCGTTTCTTTGATGATGAATCGTCGTTAACAAGAATTCTTCATTTAGGAAAAAAAAAAACTGGGTTTTTATACGTCTCAAATATGTATTAAATACATATTTAACAATATTGTTCCAAATCTGAATGAATTTTTTGAATTCGTATTTCCGTCTGATCTGCAGAAACTGTGTATTCGAAAAGAGAGGAGACAATTTGTTTTTTCTGTATACATATAGTGTTACTTTTGTTTTTAGGTTTCTGATTTATACATATGTATATGATCAAAAATTGAAACATCCCTGTGTTATGAAAAAAAAAGAAAAAAACATAGAAACAAAACAGAAAGCTATTTTATTTAATTACGACCAAAAGTTAGATTTTTGTGTAAAATATATACTGTTGTTCACATTTTAAAGATCTGTTGATTCATGCTGGTAATGCAATAAATGTCCCTATCGGATGAGAAAACAATAAAAGTTGCTGTCTCACCTGTAAAAAGGTTACTCATGACCAATTATGTTCAGCAGCGACCGCAAGTTAAATAAAAATCAGTGATTTACGCATTCGCTTCAGCTGAGTCAGACAACATTTCTGGTTTAGTCTATATTATTAAAGGTTTTCCCTAACAAACTACCGACTTCTTCAAATTCTGCCACATGGAGTCTAATTTGGACAACGACTATTATAATTACAGTAATCTGTTGTTTAGCGAACCGTTTCTAAAACTAATAAATTATGGAGAATCATTTCCATGTTTCTAGACGATGTGCTACCTTCCGTCGCCTGATAAGTATCTACGTTTAAAGTTAACTTTTAAAAGTGGTTACAATCATCAATACGCTATTAACTTTTATGCAGCCATTTCGCCTCAGCTATGACCAGAATTGCCTGTATAGGAAACAAGTGGATTGGAAGAATCTACGAAATGGAAGTATTTATAAATGAAATGAAGACAACTTCTATTTTTTAAATGGGACTAAATTGAAGGTTGACTAATTATAAATGTAAATATACAGAGTGAAGTTTTGCTTTTTTCTCTGGTCTGTTGAAATACAAGAAAATTACTTTATGTTGTACTGATTGGTAATGCATAAAAAAGCTGAGAAAATTTATAGCAATTTTCAGTTGTCAGAAAAAATCTACGGTCAGCTAATTTTTTAAAGTGACGTAGTTTGTAATTGTATGAATGAAAATTTTTAAAAGTACACTACATTTTAAGTTTCTGCCCAGAACTAACCACGTTAGTTTTCTAGTTTAGAAACTCCTATTTTTAATAGAAACTACAAATATGTACTCGGCTCACCTATAAGCAATTTTTTAAAAATTGCAGGTTTACTAGTATTTGTATAAAAAGTAAAATGTTGATGCTTCCTTAATTCAACTATTTGCAGACCCGAAATGGTCATTAAAACTGGCCGCTTTTTTATATGTATGTTAAATAAACCGTGGAGATTTTTAATTTAATAAATCGAAAAGAATTGGCACAGAAATGTAAAAAATTGTGTTGTGTGCACTTACTTGACAGATTTAAAAGTGTTTGGCTCTGAAATCGTTTAAAATATAAAAATAAGTGTTTGGCAGTAGACACACAGTAGACGCTTACGAGTTAGTCCCTAAAGTATATAAAATGTATGCAATAGAACCTACAAGAAAATGTTAACTATTTTAAAAAAGGTTCCCAATTTCTTTGTTTTTTTTTATTTTTTTATTTTTTTTTTTTTTTTATTAAATACTGTTTTGTAAACTTTGAGAAAGTACTAATTTTTCTTGTGCTATTTTCATCTCATGAAATGTTCACATGATGGTTCATATATTCTATCGCGTACTAAATAACTACATTACACTCTAACACCCATTTACACTGCAGGGCAACTATGTGTCAGGAGGGCCTAACGGTCGAAATTTTCAGAGAACACCTAACCAACCGCAGCAGACTCAACAGCAGCAGGCACAACAACAACAAAGGTCTCTGAACAGTCCCGGAACGGTGACGTCGCGGCACTCACCGTTCTCACAGGAGTCTTTCGCCCCGCCGACGTCCCCCAACTCTCCCGCTTTTAACCAGACTCAGTACCTGAGGCTACAGCGCGCTAACAGCGTGCCCACTGCCACAACCCAGTTGCCAGGTATGTCAAAGCAGCGCCTCTCTTAATCTTAAACTCACTGAAAACCACAGTTTTAACTATTTAACGTATGAGTGTGTGGTTTCTCATAGTTTGGTTTTTCATGACTTGTATTAGATTTAGAGAATTTGAGTAATTTTTTTATTGCAAATTCACTGCAGAGTTATTGAGAGTTCTACTTTAATTTTTTTATTTAATCTTTTGGGACCGTATTGAGCATGGTTTGAATTTGCTACCCATGCATTTGTAGAGAATTTTAGATCATGCAGTGGTTATATTGCATGGTAGACATCTAGTTTAGTCTTTCAATGAGAGAAGTTTTTTAATTTTATCTTTCATTGAAGGAATTGTCTCGGTGAGTATAAAAGGGGCGATCGGACGGACAATGGTCCTTTATTATAGTAGAATGCTCGGGCTGCGTTGACGTGTGAAAGATCGGCTGTATGGAACTGTAAGGTAAAAATTTATAAACTAGTTTAAAGTAGGGTAGGAAGTCTATAAATTCAACATCTAACATTTGTTGAAAAATTGGACTGTGTGTCTTGGGGTTACGTGACATTGCAAGTCTTGCTCACATTCGACCAATACACAACAAAGATTGTGGAAATATTTCATGCCATCTTTGATTTGTCCTTTACAGAAAGAAAAACTTTGCATTGGGGAATAAAATGGAAAACAAGTATCAAAAGAAATCAACCTTCAATGTCATGCTCTATCACCAGTCGATAAATTGGCAAGAATAATTGAAAACTTGCACATTATAGCATATATGTTAATAATAAACACGGTTAGGTTCAATTTTACCTGAAAATTATTTACTATCTAAAACAATATTTGTACAATCATGAGTTAATTCTTTTTCAAAAACAAGTTGTCTTCATTTGCACTGAAACTGAAAGTCGACTTTATGATATTCCTCCCCGTCTCTGAATCGAATTTATTTAGTAATTTCTTTATTATTTTCTGCGCAGGTAGCAGTTTTGTAAAAAAGCTAATATGAAATTCGTATTATATGTGAGCATAACTCGCACTTTTACGTCAACATGCAAACACACGTGAAGATTTTAATCAAATGATGAATTTTGAATATATAGATTCTCTTTGAGTTTATATATTTTTAACTTAAATTCCAACGAAAAAATACGATTATTTGCACTCTACTATCAGTAGGATTGTATAAAACAGGTGGCATTGCCAGATCTGAGAGGGTGGCGTGTGTGTTGCAGGTGGCCTGGGATCCCCCCGGCCATACGGCAGGGACCACCACCCACTTCCCTATCCCCAAATTCCTTCCAACCCTCACCAACACCCCATGATGTACCAACAAGAATCCCAGTACTGTTATGAGACGGGTTTACAGTTAGCCTACAATGGCGCAGACAGGGGTCGAGCGCCCCCACACCTTCAAGCCGGTAAGTTGTCGGCGGCATCATAGGGGCACACTCAACACCTTCCACAGCAAATCTCTAGAACCGAGCCTCCCGCCAGAAACTTCCCCCTTCGTATCATTGCTATCTTTCTGTTTTGCGTAACGAGAATTTTTGCGAAAAGAAGGGCCCGGAATTCCATCAAGAGTACAAGTTCTGGAGATTTATCGGTCATTTCACAAGCACTCATCGGCACATCGCCCTGTGTCTAACACTCATTACATTTACATGTGCTCGCCTCATGGCTGTGCTAAATCCACTGGGGTAATTCGTCCTTTGCCGTTATCCCTCTTTACCCGTTTTACCTATGTATCGCCATGTCTTCATTGATATGTGTTGTTTTTCCACGCTCTGCTGTTTTTTATGTTGCTTTTAATGTGTGTTTATGTGCTTTTTATGTTTTTATGTTTTTGCCAGTTATTCGAAAATGCCGCTGATGAAAAATCGCTTTTTGTGTTTTAATATTTGGATCATCATTTAGTGATAGAACTGTATCTCCGAGGTTTGCAATGAGCATGACATTTTTGTAGTTGGCTTTCGTTTTTATTTTATTTTTGATTGTTAAATCAAAGTCATACCCAGACAATAGGAAGTCTAGAAAATCTACCTATTCGGCAGTATAACCGTTCCACGGCGTTCTCCATAGGTCCGGTTTTACATACCGAATCCTGAATGAAAATCGTATGGCCATCCAACTGAACTGCAAATGGAAAATTTTGATATTTCTTTTTTCTAATTAAAAAATGAATTAAAGTTCATTACAAATATCTCAGAATAAAAGATCGACGAAACTGGATATGTCACTTTTTCTTTTTTATAAGTTATCCGTTTAGATATAACACACGTTTGAATTTGGTTTATAGTTAAATTTTCAAAAAATGTTTGAAGTACCACCTGGGAAATAGAGAACAAAGTGATACAAATAAATGGATTTTAAAATCTTGTGTCGGTTAGTTCATTATCCCTATTGTGATCTCGGAAATCCTGCAAGATTCAAGGTAAGCTAAATTCGAAAAAATTGAAACATGTAAAAGAAGGGACAAAAATTAGCCAAGTACACTTTTTAGATTCTTTTCTACACTACCTTGAATTAGGGGGAAAAATGGAATATAAGAAATTTTCATTTGTCGTTTTGGCATGGAATAACTCGTTTGAGATTTTATGTCATGCACGTTAGCACGTCGTATTATCATTAAATATGTCAAACTCATGATAACACAGCGTTTCTTTTGCTTAGTTCAAGTATTTCAGGCAAACGTTTTTTCAGTATCAAGAGGAAACACTGTGGGATCACTTGTCACTGTTGAGTACTGTAGAACAAAATAGTAAGCTTGTTTGTGATAGGTGTGTCCGCAAGTGCCCCCGCATCGGAATTCGTCAGGCAAGAGTTACGTGCGGTGGTCGGTGCCAGAACTGGGCAAGCCCAGACTGCTCCAAACAGGACTCAGTCTCAGTTACTCAACCAGCAAGTTGATCTCGAAGCCTTTGGACTTACATTCGAACTGCCCACGTCTGGTGAGTCGCTATTTTAATTGGCATGCCATACGTTTTGAACTTAAAATATCAGATATTTTTTGTACATTGTTTTCAGATTTGTAGCTTATTTACTAACGCCCTTTTATGAATCTAATGACTGTAAATATTAAAAAAGTAGTTAGTGTAGATCATGTACATTTTTATTTTTTGAAAACATCTTCATGTAGTAAGAGGGGTATTGTGCAAAAATGTTTATTAGTAAGTTACTAACTTTAGGTTCTTTGGGTTACTGTTTTTTCTTTTTAAATGGAGTTAGTAAAACGTACAAAAAGTGCTTAGTCGAGCTTTAATTTCCTATGTTTGCTATTAGTGTGTACGATACTTAATTCATATTCGTAATTTATAGTCTCCTATGTTTTATATTCCATCATTTGGAAATACATTGAGATAACCCGTTATAACGAAGTAACTACTCAGTGTTGAATTGTGGTTATTGACATTACAAAAATATTTTATAGCAGCAATACCTTTTTACATACAACCGGTTAAAAAAGTATCTTCGCTTCTTTTTCATTCGGTTCGTTGAATTTCATTGGTAGTATTTAGTAGCGTCTCGGAAGTTATTTTTATAATCCATAATCTCGGTCCTTTCACACAGATGCTTTAATTCAAATATGAAAAAGTACAACAGATTCAATTAAAAAACTTAAACCTTACTCATAAATGAGGTTTCGATTAAAAAATTCCGACATCATTTAATATTTGTCATAAATAAGTGAATGATTGATTATTTAGAGATTTAAAAAGTCAACAATTAAATTTGTAGGCGTATTCAAGTGCCCTAGTGGCTTCTTCTTACGCTTTAGAAGCATATTTTATTTTTTAAATTTCTGTGCGACGTCAAATTATTTTTCTGGATTTTTTTTAACAAAAGTTTACAAAAAGTCGCAATATGGTATGATTTTTGACATTGTTTCAATCTAAATCTAAAATTATAATTTAAATGTTTTTGTAAATAATATTGTTACGAAAGAAACCCATACGACGCCTATGGGTTCTAGTTTGTACGGCGATGATGACTCATCGTCGATGACGGCGGCGGGGCAACGTTCGTTAAAGAGAAGCCTGGAAGCGGAAGTCACGATAAGCAATCCAGAAAGACCGCGACTGCGGAACTTCTAGAAGGGAAGTATGCCTTTAAATAGAGCCCACCTTCGGGAACGAGTAAGTCCCAACCGACAAGTGAAGTCCGGACAATGGGAGAAATAGAGTTTAGTCAAATCCATTTCAGTCGAGTCGGAGTTATTCTGTACATAATCGCTGTATAGTTAGTCGTGTAAATTTGAGGTAGTAAGAAATAAATTGTTGAGTTTTACCCAGGTCGATTTTTAATCACCGATCATCGTAACAATATATATTATTATTCATTTTATTGATACTACAGATGCTACAAAAAATTGCAAAACGGATGTTAAAAATAACCATATTTTAAAAAAATGTGAACCTTTCTATCACAAAAAAATATTTAAAAAATAAAAAAATATCGGAACTTTAAAAATAAAATGTACTTGTAAAACCGAAAAAGACACCAGTTTGTATAAAAATACAAGTAATTGGACTCAAAAAGTTGTATATTGCGTCTCAAAAACAAACAAAAAACCTGTATAACTGAAAACTGTATGCCAGTGAAAGAATCATAAAAATTTACTTTTTGACTTTTTTTGTCTTATAATCAGATATCAAAGGCCTAACTTTCGTGGGCAATGGATCTTCAACAGGCTTTAAATTAATGTAATCTTGAGGCCCAATTTTTTTTAGTTCCCTTTATCTTATACCATTTTTTTATATTCTTCATTAGTTTCCATTACTATCACGTGCCCTCTTTCTTCTCATTTGGTTATTAACATCAGTTTTTTTTTCTGTAATTGGTTTTGTTTCTTTTTTTTTTTTAATGTTTACTAACATAAGGTGTTTGTGGTCCATTATAAACTATATATACAGCGCGTTATTGAAAGGTACGTACAAAATAAAATCGGCAATTGGTCTCGAAGTATGGGCGCTAAAAGTAAAAAAAGTTCAGGTAATTGTGTTCTCCTTTTAGAGATAAAAATTATTAAAATTTGATTCCAAATTCGTTGTACGCCTCTGATAAAAAGATCATCTTTCGTTTCTATAGCAACATTTAATCTTGACAGAAGTTTTATTGTTACAGATGCTAGGATTTACTAAAATAAATTAATTTTACCTATTTATTCTTCAGTAGCGTCTAAAAAGTTTGGATAAGGGTTAATTTTCACCTTATAATTTTGATGACACAAAATAAGTTTTTCAAGCTTCTTAGACTTCTCGAATAACTGTCAATTTTGTTGTACGTACCTTTCAATAACAGCCTGCATAGTCTGCTGAAAATTGTACTGTTTGTTATTATTTTTTTTCCTAAAAACCATTAGTACTATTGAATTAAATGCTTGAGGGTAACGATAGTTCAGAGATGCGAATTGTCGCTATGGCTGTCGTTTATAACAATACTTCTTAAATATTTCACCTTTCTAAGTTTTTCTCATTATTTGTCAATACCTAGGGAAAGAAATTCTCAAACACAAGGTGGTACACGAGTAATAAAGAGCTTGAATAAATTTGAAACGCAACCCAAAATACACTTTCACCACTATCTTGGATATTGTTATAATTACAATTGGAACGTAGTAAGCTTAACACTTGTCAAAAGTATGTTCGATGTTTAATAATAAACTTCTGACAAGTGTTAAGCTTACTATATTATGTTTATTAATGTTCCAGTATAATTATTATAATAATATCCAATTCAAATTTATTCAGGCTCTTTATTACTCGTGGACCAGCCAGTATAAATATATCTGAATATCAGATAGGTATTTTATCGTAATTCATTTCTCTATTAGTATGTCGTCAATACATAATACTTGGATTTAGAATAATCAATATTATCAACTTTGTTTTTTTAGTCGTGCTTGTTGCTTGACAAATTGTTCACTGAAACAAAAAATCTGATAATCTTTTGTACTTTACAAATGACTGAGATTAGTTGATTATAAGTTTTCGCTTTTGGATACACTAGTGGACATTCAACCTTCTGGTAATAATATGTTGCATGTCGATTTCCGTACATTATTTGCACCTAACTAACGACAAATTTTAATATAGTACTTTTAATTTGTCGGAAATAGTAAATAAAATAAATCGATGAATAAAAAAGTTAATATAGAACTTTGTAATGGCATTATTTTCAATTTTAAAATGTCTTTAAAAATAAATAATACGAATAAACATTACAGCGTTCTATAACGGCACTGAAGACCAAAACAAATCATGCTAATATTTCTAGGAAATAATTTCTGCAAAAACAAGAGTCAAAAGTTCATCTGAGGAGGATAAAAACGGTAACAAAAAATAACTGCATTTTTTCTAAATTTCTTAAAACTCTTAGTTATTGCGAATCCATTCCAACACAAAACCAACATTTTTCGCAAAAATCATGTTTCATTTGCTAAACTAACCAACCATAACTCTAACCACTCAGTTTACTTCTTTTAATACCTGTGTATATGTAAATTAAAAACTAAAAACTTACAGTACAAAAAATATTTGATAAAACGTGTTTAACAGTCTCATTGATAAAACACCACGGATTAATGCTGCTTTCAACTTACGACATCAAGGGGGTGTTTTATCAAGATCAAATCCAAATGTGACGTTTTAGACTCTGTGATAAAATGACTCTTTAAACATAACATTTGTTGTTGTTTTTTGCTTTTTTTATGTTAATGGCATTGTACAGCCGTATCGAGGACGTTAACATCCTTGTATGAGACATACAGGGAGGTGGTGTTCTTGCATACATTTTAATCAGTGACGTGTGATTTTTGTGATATACCATTTCCCTGTATTATATACTCCCCCTCCATGTGTGTTTTTGTTTTTACTAAACATATATAAGGGGCAGAGAGCACCCGCGCCACTTTCGACACCAAAAACAAACAAATGAAACTAGCCTAGGTGTCCAAGATGGTAAAGGTACTCCTGCAGGGAGTGCGTACAATGACATCATTGTTGCGTGCAGGTGCGAGTGATAGCCCGAAACTTTGGGGTGCGATGGGTTCAGATATGGGCTCAATGTCTCCGCAGCCAGCGACCTCCAGGGTAAGCCAAGCAAGCCACAAACCTTCCTTATACACGCTTGTCCCGCTTGCTCTGTTACTAACCTGTTGGCATGTTGAATAGCGTCCTCTTTATTTGGGCGTACACAGAAAAACTGATGAGGTTGTTTACTGTGAACGGTTAACAAGAGTCCTTAAATTGTTTATCTCAAAAGGTTCAAAATCATGCGTAGGTGTGTGTGTTACAAAATCTGTTACATTAACAAGTTAATAAAAAGAATATTTAAAAAAGCGTTAAATACGTGAATAAATAATTAGCTGTGCATATTTTGATAGTGCTTTTTAAAGTGTTGTAAACAGTAATTCATAAATCGGGCATTTTCATAGATTAAAATTAAAACAACAATAAGATAATGTAAAAAGAATGCTGTAGGTCCAAATATCAATAGGTAAAATAACATTTTTAAATAGATAATAATTTAAACATGAAGAAAAACCACCTAAAGTTTTGTGGTTTTTCTTTGGCGATGTTTCCTCATTGTGTCTTGTCATGTGATTCGTCATGTTTCATTTTGAATAAAATAAAAGTCTTAACAAACTGTTTCATTTTTCAAGAAACGTAAAAAATGTACACAATGTATTGGATTTGACCACAATACATTTTTAACGTTACTTTGAGCAACACAGAAAAGGGAGTCGCATTTAAAGAGTTACAGTTAGAAAAATCTTGACGTGAAAAGGTTACTTTTTTGACAATTGTATACAAAAAAGTTATATATTATACTGAAATCTTGTATAGGGACTGAGAAACATCTGACAGAAGTATTAGTGTTCAATATATTTTCTTCGGAAGAAGAAGCAAAGTTAATCATTGGGCGACAAGAAAAACCTACTGTTTCTGATTTTTACTGAAAACCTTAAGTGTGGTCATAAACTGTAGGACTGTATTATAATTAACTTTATTAATTTTAATTTAATTAAGTGAGTTAGCATTACGTCATTTTGCTACAAGACTGAGTTCGCGTTTTCGAAAAAAAGTTACAAAAAATAATAACACTAATCTTTTTTTAAATATATTTGTGAACAAATTAATATTACATATGACCTTTATGTATACAAAAAAAGTTAAAAATAAAAGACAACTCCTTTTTAAAGTGGATCTTTTGAGATAAGTCGTTTTTGAGACTGTAAATACCTAATTTTTGTATCCAGTCTAATTATATTACTAGAGGGTATTACGGTGGTGCTTTTCTCTGTTCGCCCTCGATATTTAAAATGCAGACGACAACATCGATGCTGATGATTTCTTGTTCCAGAGTTCTATGGAGGAGGCGCGGCCAGGTGATCACAATAACAAGTCGTCGCTGCTGCAGAAGCTGCTGTCCGAGTGACCACCGCGTGTACATAATAGAGATATATACTACTAGGTACCTCATCGGTTCTGTACCGCAGGCTGTAATTTAGACAGGTTAGCTGTATCAAGTGCATTACTACGTTGCTTGTTCGTTTCGTTAGGGTAGTGCGGAGCGAGGGAAGGCGCAGAGGGCTTGAGTGCAATTGTAAATAAATAGGAGGACTTTGTTTATATTTATATATACATATTATATATAAATAACAATTATACATAATTATATTTTATTATTGGACTTGTTTTAAATTTTGATTATGATTACGTAATTGGAGCATCGGCTGACGAAAGCCGGGGCACCTATCCTGTTATTAGTTATTATTTTGGATGTGTTTAGTGTTGTCTTCCTTTCAGTGAGTGTTCAAGCTACGCATTACCAAAAAACAGAAAAAGATAAAATGGATTTTAAAAATAATAACAAATAGTAACTGTTAATATTTTATACATAATTTAAAATACGTTATTTGGAGAGCTCGTTTTGTTGGACATTGTGATAGGCATCCAAGCCATGTTACTGTTGCTAGGAACGTTCCTAGACCTTATTAGTAATAGCATTCATACTTGATTATTGTCAATTACACCCCGCCACTAAATTAAAAGAAATGAACAAATTGACAGACAAAAACATTATTTAATTACACAGATATTTTTTGTACATTATTGGAGTTTTGAAATATATCTATATATATTAAAATAAAAGTATAATTTCTATGTGTATTTTATTTTATTTGTTTTCCTACTTCCTGTGCGATAAGGAATAATAAAGAAATCTGTGGGTGTCCTTGTTTTCTAATTTATTATTATTTTTATTGGAAGCGTTGAAAACGGTAAACGTAAATTCATCGTAAATAACAATCAGTCACAAATTAAAAGTATGTAGCAAATTTAATGATTTAGGAGGTTGTTATGAATAAATATTTTCCACAATGCCACAACTATTTATTTACAACGTAGTTATGAAGTAAACTAAAAAGAATGTAAAGCATAAAAGGAGGTAGGGTGAAATAAAACTGACTGACAGCGAACTGCATAATAGAATGTTAGCTTAGAGATCGTCTTATTTAGAGAAATATGTAATAGTGAAATTCTTTTTATACTTACATGATCGTAAACGCAAGCATTTTTTTGGCACTATTGTCGGCGATGTCATTTTCTTCTATACACTTAACTACGACCTGGAACATATAATATCAAAGTTATACTTTATTGCTTAACACCGATTCGTTGAGAAATTGCAATTAAGTACAAAAGCTGGAAGGTCCTCAAAACTTGAAAGTGCTGTCTGATATAATGTTTTCGCATTTAGTTGTTTTCGTATACAATGTTTTATTACTTCAGTAGAACACTGATGAATGGTGATACCAAAAAAAGAGGTAAATTTTTGAAAAAATGATTGAAGAGGAAATAAAGCTTTAATTTAGATCACAGAACCGTAGTCATGAAGTTGGTGGTATATGTAAACCGTATGATTTTGTATTTGAAAAAAAGTATTATTTCACACGTCAGGTTAAAAATTATGATTCCCTTCCAGTTCTCATTATGGATGCAAAATTTTGTGAAAACCTGTGAAAATTTAAAAATTGGCCTTGGACTGATCGGCAACAAGACAGGACCCTACGTTGTGTTTTGGAATGGCGGAATGCGTTCTAATGTACGTGATGGGCCGCAAAGGTGGAAGAGTGCCCTTGAATTCACGACGCAAAAATATGGTGTGAATAATTTTAATTTTATCAATCTCTTTTAAAAGGCTATATTTGTTCAGTTATCAGATTTACTCGTTCTTTTCAAATGCAAAATTACAAATTTCGATTACATGAACACAGCTTGTTAAATGTATACAATTTTTTAGTTTGCACATTTTATCTAAAGTGAATGGATAGCAATGCACACATTATTATGGTGGCGTATTGACACATTTTGGTTTTTTTGGCAGTCCGAAGAATCAGAACACGATTTAAGTCAACAACTAAAGAAACGTGGAACGAGTACAGCTAATTGCGAATAAACAATGATATGAATGCAAGGAAAAGTATCACTCTGGACTGGCGCCGAGCTCCGCTCTCGCCATCCGAATTTAAAAAAACAAAATTAATGAATTAAGACTACGTCGTGAATCGAATTCTCCCATCACATACATTCATAAAACACAGTTAAATATGGTCTAAATATAAAATGTTGTTCGATACGCACGTCGCTTTAAAAGCGTATAAACATTCCAAAATGGAAGTCATAGAACACGTAACATAACAAAAAATCGGCATAAAATCCACTTTCCCCCTTCGAATCTACCCCCACATTTACTTCACTGCTAATTTTCAAAGAGAATACGAGTATGTGCTTAAAATTAAATCGTAAATACTGCCAATTACTGTTTTAAAATTTCCAAAGGAGAATCTGTCCAATTTAAATAATAGTTATTTAAGTTAGAAAAAAATCATCCATCCCCTTAGTCATTAATATTACCTACTTCGCCTGAATAAAGTGGCTTATTTCTTCACTGTCATACAAAAAAAAATATGATTTAAAATTTATGAGAGATGGCATGGAATAAAATAACAATTTTCATGACTGTTAAACTGTGTTAGAAACTGCAACGGTTAAAAATCCTAACATAAAGGGTGAATTTACAATCAACAAATTTACACCACGTGTTTACAACATGGTCAAAAATTACACATTTCTAATTAGAAGACTGAAGACGTTAATAATCAATTACACTTGTGCGGAAAACAGGGTTGTTATTTTATAAAACTACCTACCAAATCAAAGTAAACATAACGTAGACAAATTTAATGCTTACCGCGTGGTTACACCTACACCAGACAAAAACAAGTGACCAAAGAGTGATTCATTTGGGGTGAAAGTGTTTACAAAGGGTGGAAAGGGAGGGGGTGTAAACAAATTTTAAAATTTTGAAAATCTGCGCCAATCAGTTTACAGATATCTCTTTATTGCGACCTCTGGCGGCGAGTTTTGAACCATGCAGTGAAAGCATAAGGTGAAGATGTGGTGATATTGAAGTTCTGTGATGTGGTGAAGACTATCTCATTTCAGGACCCCTACAAGTGACGGATCTCAACCAGTGATATGTTATAATTAGTTATTAATATTATATAATACCTATATGAAGATGGAACTGGGGGTACAAAATGTGTGCCCGACCAGGGCGCCAAATTGGAGCCGCAAAACGCAAACCACAATACATCTAAAACCGGGGGTAGTCTGTAATCTAAATCTAATAAAACTATTGAGATATATTCAATTTTTTAAGTTTACATTGAATCTTATAGTTAGTAACTGCTTAATTGCGTCTTTATAATCGCCAGTGGAATTGTTATTTATTATAAATTGTAATTCAACAATATTTACCACTCAGAAAAACATGTGTTTACCTTGTTTTTTTGATCACCCAAAATTACTGGAGTATTGTACTACTATTACTGAATTTTTCAACAACGCAATTAAAAATGAATATTGTAATTGTGAATTAACGTTTGGTTTATTGCATAAGTAATCCTTTTTACAACTGACGGTATGCTTAATAAATCATATATTATTAAGTTTTGCCTGAAAAGTTGAATTTTCTGGATTACATTGAGGAGTAACTAGGACAAGACTTTACGAAAATAAAGGGTTCTGACATTATGCATGAAAGTGCTAGAGATATAAAATTAAGCTGAAACAAACATTGGACACTAGTATCCACTTTGAAAACACTTTAGGCGAAACCATTTGTTCAACAATTGTCCACAGAAAGCATGCAGAACTTATTTATAATTTAACAAATTATACAGGTAATGTTCTATTTACTTGGCACTTAATACAGTTTATATAATACAGATATCTAAAACAAAAGATATATTAATTATGTAAATTAATAACATCATATCACAGCTTCATATAAAAATCTTACTACTTACTACCCTCATTATTAAAAAATTGGTTTGTATCATAATCATCAGTCAATTAAATTAAATGAAAAATACAGATTTTTACCTTGTTGATCAACATCAAAACTAAATATTTTATTGGTATTTAGTATGACTTTGGTCAACTGCTCTGAGATACTAGGACCAATTAAATCAATAGTGAAAATTTTATTGATATGATGAAGACGAATTTTTAAATAAAAGAGAACAAGAACAGCAATTGTTTAAAAGCGCGACATAGAAATACTCTTGCGGTTGAAAACACGCAGTACACATTTGTATCACTGGTTGCCTAAAAATGTTAAGTAACCTTGAAACTTGCATATGGCGCCTGGTCGGGATCATTATGGCGGATACTTTTCAACATCTAGGTATATGCATATGACATATCACTGATCTCACCCCAGAGACTTTAAATATGTATGTATATATTTGAAGTCTTTGTCTCAACCAAACAAGCCTGCTTTACTACCAACTTCGTTAATACTAGATTACTATCCACAAATTCCCTAAAGGGGTTACCAAACTACCAGTAAAAATCTAAAGTTACACATAATAGTTGCCCATGTTTAACGATTTTCTTAATTGATTTTTCAAATTCAAATTATCCAAATACGATTTCGCGCCACTGTTTTTTTCAGCGCGAACTTTTGATTCAAACTTAGACATCAAACTGTCCACAAATTTCCTAGACGAGCAAACTTTACTGTCCTGTTTTTTTACGGTATAATAATAATAAAACAAGTACTTTCGAATGAATTCTGAACATCGGTTTTAGTTCATTATATATTTTTAGAATCTTTTCAATACAAGGCGCATTTATGTTGGTAGAAGCAACCCTGATTGACTGTCTGTTTTTTACATTTGTCAACTGTCATTTAATGTAGGTTATGTTTTCATACAAATTTTGAAACGCATACAGTGCATACACAATGTTAATATCTTTGAGAAATGACCATAAGGAACATTTAAATTTGTTGACTACTCAGTCCGTGCAAGGTCGGTATAAATTACTTTTAATAGGTCTCCGTTGAATAAATGTAATTGTAGTTTTAATTGATTTCTGTAAACTGGCCATCGACTTTCTTCAAAATGGACCAAACTTAAAACTGTATACGACAGCTGCTGAAAAGTTATCCGTAGATCTAGATGCTGTTCAAAATTGCATATATGGACTTGTTAATCTTCTCCTACTTAGCTGTAAATATAAGGTTAACTAGTAACAAAAGTTTAAGATGTTAATCACTATATAATGTAAATTGTAGTTGAGTGAAGCTGATTTTAGAGACTCAATTTTAACCCTTGGCTTTTCTTCAGAACAACAAACTATTCTTCATAAATTTTATGAATCGAAAAAAACAGAAGTTGCACGAATTATTACAAAGCTCAGTGTTAGTGAACCACATTATGATGATTTAGAATGGAGATTTGAAGTACAGGTTGGTAAACGAACACTGACTACTGCACACATATATACATTAAAAATGTAGGTTTCTTCTAGAGCTTTGCTGCATCAAGTGGTCCCGTTAATGACCTTAGACTTGAGTCTAAAAACTATGAAAGATGATGGAAGTGGATATGAAAAAGAACATTTGCTGTTACAAACAGATGTCAACAATTTGTTGCACATAACTCAAGAACTGGAAAAGGCTTTAATTGAATCCCGGAGTAGACATTCAAGAAAAATCCAAAGGGCATTAAACAGTTAGTGTAAGTGTTTTTATGAAATAAAACAAAATATCTTAAGTAACAACTTTTTAATGAAAACCTTGTTCAAAATACTACATATAAATAACCCACAAAATACAACATGTTCTTTTCATTAATGTTAAACTTTTAAACTACCGTAAAGCAAACGCTATTCCCGAACGAGTATGAAACCTAACTTTGAACTTAAGCTGATTTTTATATTATATAATTGTTTATGTACCTGCAAGTTTCTGAGATTTTTTTTATTTTAACCAAAAAAAAGTTACAATGTTTTATATTTCAATATTATTGCACATTAAAACTCAGTGGGCAATAACACCACATGGAATAAAACTGATATGAACTAAAAATTGCATGAACAACAAATTGGTGTCACGTGTATCAAGTTGTATTTTCTTTACTAACCTAAGATTGTAAACCTCTTCAATGATATATTTAAATAGTAAATGGCAAACAACTAGTTACTTCACTTTTTTCGGTTGTGAGCCACCACCAAGGACTTTTCTTCGCAAAGTCCACATATGCAAATACAGTTGTGGGAAAACTGAAACAATAAATCATAATAAGCACATAAAAAAATGCCCTTAAATCGAAAGCCTTACGTGGAATGTAGAGCAACATCACACCTATAAGGATAAATTGATAGTTAAAAATAAAATTTACTGTATTTGGCATTTCTATGGTAAGCAGTTTGGTTTTAGCAACTTCTTTTTGGGCAGCATAAATGCATAACAATTCTCCAGTAACGCCTATTGGATAAAGTATAATGAATGTTGTATACCTGTAAACAATAGCAATTAATTTGTTATTGTTTTTAGTATTTCGTCGTCATATAATGACTGGTTAAAAACGAATGTGATATATGTGACATTACAAAACACAACATTAATTTAAATGATTTATAATAGAAGCGAAAATGTTAGTACATATAACTTCCCTCAGGTATTTTGTACTTAATTTTTTTACTGGCAAATATTGTACAACATAATAAATATCGCCACTAACACAGTTACAGTTCTGGTTATGAATTGAATGTGGTGCACGTTTTTAATTTCCATATCTCAAGCATTCAGGTTTCAAGATAAATTAAACATTTTGTCAGTGATCTTACTGTAAATAATAGACACTTTCAATTTACTAACTATGTACAGAAATAAAAACTGATCTGTTTCATCGTTTTCGACAAATACCATTCATTTTGAAATTACTGAATCTATTGTATACTGTTTGCTAACATGTAGACTGTGTTTATAACCTTGAATAACAAAGATTCGAGCATAATTGAAAAGAATTTTTTGGTTTTTATTACGTGTTAAAGTGCAAATCAACCATTGTTTACAATCACTCGATTCTATAATAATACGTTAATTTTGCTTATTGCACTGAATGTGGATGTAAATGTGTAGCTACCTAATACATAACTTTTTTTTACAAAATTTTGTTATATGTATTACCTAAGCCATGTCACAATGTATGGTACACCTCCAATAAGATTAAGTACATAGTTTCCATATCGTATAACTTCAGTTATCGCCCAGGCTCCAAGGGCTAGATGTAAACCTATACTGTCACGGGCGGCTTGTGTTAATAGTATCACTCCGCACACTACCATAACTCTTGATGCAACTTGCATACCGGTAATAACAGGATTCGATGGAACTATACGTGTCACAGCATGTACCACTTCTAAAACAGCTGCGTTTTGAAAAATAATCAGTGGCCATTTTATTATTTCGTAAAGAGATCTCCCATCTGAGGAAGACAAGTGAAAGCTAATTAACAGATACAGCAGGTAACTCCACCTGAAACAAAGAAATGTTATGTGTTAGTTAGCAACTATAACACTCAAAATATCCAGTCAGTAGTACTAGAAGATACTCGTGCGAATGTAACAAGTTTGGAGAAAATGAGACTATAATTCAATAGGGATTTTCTTTACAGTGATATTGAAATTCTGTAAACGTCATTGCTTTTAGCTTGACTGGAAGCTTTATTTCTTCGGCGCAAATCTGTTTTTTTAAAACAAGGACGTTTTCAGGATATCAGAAATTGTCTACAGGCCATTTCAATGAAAAGGAGCACCTAAATAACACATTTCTTGTTTTATTTTGAGGGAAATCCAAAAACAGGTTAATTTTAATTTTGAGAGCCATTTTGATGTCAGACTTGACCTTGTTGAGTTAACCTACTTGCACGCGGCATTTCCGGCAGCCTCCTTTCCAAAATTTTACACGGCAACGGTTGACAAACTAAACCAGAATCTGGCTAAGAATTAAAGGAAATAAACATTTGGGAGTGTCAGTAAATAATTCCCGTAGCTTGAATCTAGACTCCCATTGCATAAAATCAATTTTAAACACCTTATAAAATTAAAGCTAATTAATTAGTGTAATTATAATTAATTCGTAAAAATACACTCAAAATTCTTTTTCACTTGTGAAAAATTAACAGTTTTAACAGTTAAAAAAGGTAAATACTGTTACAGTTAACGGTCATTAGAACCATAAAACACTGCGCGTAACATATTTAAACAGTACATCACTGTCACAAGTCTCATTTTAGATTTTAAGTATGACAGAATTTCAATGAATTTTTTTAAACGACAACAAAATGTGACCTCTTAAAAATCGATTTGCTGTTTTTGGATTTTTCTCAAAATAATATAACAACTGAGTTATATTTTTATATTTTTTGAATTTGCTTATACAGATGACTCAAACAAATTAATGAATGCGTGGATTTATTTTGATTAATTTATTGATTTAATAATCAGGAACCGTAAAACCGAATGCTTTGAAATCTTGGAGATGTTTTAAAGTATCATAAGGATTTTTGATCAAAATTTTGCCGAATAAGTCCAGCCTAAAATGCGCAAAATATGATTAGTCTATACTTGTAACTTATCATGGCATTCATAACATTTTTTTGATGTGCCTATACAGGGTGACTCAAAAAAATTAATAAATCAGTCAATTTATTTTACTGAATAAATCAAGAATTGTAAAACTGAATACCTTGAAATCTTGCAAAAGTTATTGTAATCATGGTAAATTGTTAATCAAAAAATATCTGTTTATTCCTCCCAAAAAAATGATGAGGTCATCTCAAAATTTTGTCGAATAAATTCTACGCCCAAAATGTGCAAAATATGGTGAGTTTTTACGTTGATTTATCATTGCATTCATATTTTTTAAATTTGCTTAAAACAGGTGGCTCAAAAAATTAATGAATGAGTCAATTTATTTTATTGATTAAATCAGGAACCGCTCACTCTATTTTCCAATTCTAATTTTGGAAATACAATACTGTTATTTTTAGTATCACACTGCATTAATCCAAGTTGATATACGTGTTCTGGCAAAAATGTTGATGACGGCATCACAAAATTGAGTAAAGAAAAACTCAACTCGAAAACGCTGGATTGTACTTTCAGTGCGAGGGACGTTCTGTCGAAACAACTTTGGACCAATTTTTTTATGGATATGGAAGATATAAAGGTTTAAGTTCAATTACTTTGTCATTTTAACTGAGATTAGACTCTGTCCTATAAACATCCGATATGTTGTATGTTTATTTATGTTAAATTTTGATTAGAGAATAAACCTTTATGTTACAAAAAACCATTTGAAGTGACGGCGCCGTTATTACTCAGCATAGAGACCTCATAAACTTTTATCGGTCTCGGTCGCTCGCAAACGAATTGTTGATATAAAAGTAATGAATATTTACGAGAAAATGTATTTTCCATTCAGTGTGAATTTTTTGTAACATTTCGATACATAAATGCTTAGGTATAAGTATCATTATGATCGAAAAAAAGACGTCTATATACCAAGCTTTGAAATTTTACGTCAAAAAAATGCAATTGGCAACACCAACGCCTTCCTTTTTCTAAATTTCATGGACTACTGGAGGACTTTTTTTGGATCATATGGCAGTAGTTTTATTAGCGTGTTATGGCATTGTGCGTAATATATGTAAATATTCCAAAACAAGGGTAGATTATTACACCAAGAGAAATTTTGGTGTCGAAAATTGTGATGGTTTCAGTGTGTGCTGTTTTTGTTGTTATGGTTACGAACTTTGCTTACGAATTTGAGTTTTATTTATATGTATAACATTTGTAATTCAAAATTTTGATTTTTTGACATTGATAGTTTAATCAAAGACATGAGAACTATTTCCATGACTAACTCTAATCTGAAAACTTTTTGGTCACCCGTTATTTGATGTGCAAGTAAATCTGTTTGACCAGCGCAGCGTTAAAAAAAAGACGCTGTGTACATACATACAACTTTTTTGTAAAAAAATTTCTTCCTCACAATCGAACTCAAACCTTGGTGTACGTAATATGTAATTCGGACATAACTACACTTTCTGGATTCGCCCATTTACCTCGTTCGCTCTATCGTATTTAAACTATTGTTGCGATGAACGGGTGTTTTAAAATCGGCGTGGGTAAAATTCAACAATTTATTTCTTAATAACTCGAATTTACACGACTGATTACCCAGCGACTATGTACAAAATAATTCCGGCGCAACTTGACTGTACTCCGCCTTCGTTCAACTCGATTCGTTAACTGAATAATAATCGATCCCGACGGTGGCCTCTATTTAAATCTATACGTTCCTCTCGATGGATCGAGAACACCGCTTCGAGGTTTTTCTGGCTTGCCCATCGCGACTTCTGCTTCCAGGCTTTTCGTTAGCGAACGCTGCCTGGCCGATGAGTCATCATCGCCGTACATACTAGAACCCATAGGCGTCGTACCGGGACGGCGCCGGGGTTTGGGTTTATTTCGTAACAATATAAACCTAAAACGGCTCGTCCACAAAGACTTATATTATGTGTTTATTACATAAATTCGGCAGCAAAGATGTCACATTGTACATACTTCTGCACTTGACAAACTTTGGATGAAGACATTAAAAAATAGGAGTTCTCTAACACCAAATTTAATTTTATCGAACGCTCTCACATTAAAAAAATCGGTCGAAGTTTATTTCAACAGAATACCCGTCGCTCCTGAAGTACCAGTCCAACAAATCCCGTTTTTGGAAAACCAATTTAAAGTAAATGCTTTTTATTATTACGTTCTATGCCCCACCTTCATGATGATTTGAAATTAAAAATTAAATTGTGTTGTACATACCTAACACATAATTTACTGGAGGATACGATGATACCTTTTCGAACCAATAACAGATTTTCAATCTCACATAAATTCAGAATACCTACTATTATAATAAAGGTAACTCAATTTTGTGTTTTATTACTTCGAATTATGTGTTTAAGAATTGAAACGACGCTATATATATTCATGATATACAATGAATAGTAAACGTTATACCTACATGAATGGTTTTAATCAATACGTATGTTAATAATGAGTACGTAACGACGGGCGACGGTGAAAAATCTACTCCTATTGTTCTATAAAAAAATGGGTTGTGCCGTCATGAATGCTCTTTTAATTTTAATTAAATAAAGACAAAGCTGATAATTATAATTATTAAATTCTTATAGTTACGTATGCTACATATAATATAATTATTTCGCATATTCAGTTTTTATGATGTGTTGATGGAACTTTCTGTGCAAACACCAACACAGCAACTTTGAAAAATGTTTAAAACTTACCCAATTGTTTCAATAACGTTGTAGGCTATTAAATAGCCCTTTGCAGCCCCAGAAAGTTCTCTTTTTGATTTCGTGGTGCCGCTAGCCATTGTAGTGCATTAACCTTAATTGAAAAAAAAAAACAGAAATAACGTAGTACAAATTTAGAGTAAAAATTCCTCTGGTAAACTAACTGCGACTGTCGGCATTTGACTACGGCCGAGGGACAAAACACCTGGCATCGTACATCCTATCACATCGACAGTATCAACACGGCCCCACTTCTTTTGCATAGAGAACGATCAAAGGTGAAGGACAACAACCTTGTCCCGTTTCAGCATTAAACACGTTATTGGTTAGACAACCAACTTTGAGAGTGCACTGTTGTTAATTGAACAATTTCAACCTCATTTATTCAGTTCCTGTCCACTAAAAAGGCTGTTTTTTATGTTCTAACCTCAAACATACTTGAAGTAAACAATCACTACGTAACCCCTAACCTAAACACCTTCCGTCATATTAACAATGTCAAATCTACTAAGGATGTCTTTTGGGTTGATGCTTGATGCATTGAAATATTCTAATTCTCTGCGTTGATATACGCATCTTGTGCATATAATTAATTCTCTAAATAATTTTATTATTATTTTATAAATTAACCTTACAAATCTTAAATCTAGTACTTTTTATAAAAAAAAGTCCCTATTACGTCCCTATTTCATATCAGAAGTTCTCAAACTATTTCTTATATGTTCGCATGACTTTCATAATAAACAATTCTAAGATAGGTATCACAGTAGGTATGGTAAATATCTGCTTAGTTCCTGTTTAGTTTTAGAAAATATACTTCAGTATAGTCACAGAACAGAGTACAGTGGAAGTATGCAGCTTAGGGTCCTTCATTAAAAAAAAATTAAAAATGTCAACTTGTTTGATGTAAAATATTTTCAAAAATATAAAAAAACAGTGTTAAATAACTTGTGATCTGCAAAAAAAACCCAACGTTTTCGTTAACTTCATCCTAACTACAAAAATACTTTGGAATCATTGCTCAACAAAATGGGATCTGTATTATGACGTAATATTGGTTGCCTACTTCCACTGCAATGACGCAATTTAGTTTACAGTATAATAGCCATGTAATAGCCTGCATAGATATTGTAGCCGTCCATAGAGTCGAAATTTGCGAATAAAAATAAAATAAAACCGGTTCAAACGGAGCCGACGGTGGCTTGCAAAGTCTGACATCACTCTGGCACACGTTGCACAGAGACGTATTTAATATTAAATGTCATTTTTTCCGTTATGATATAATCTGTTTAATTTCTGAGCTGGATCTCGTCAGTAAAATCGAAGCTCTGTTCACGGTACACAAGTTGTGGAGGCAGGTGGAGCGAAAAACCTAGTCATCTTAGCAGCAAACACGCCTATAAACTAGTCCACGTGGACTGTTTGTTTCCTGTCATATTTTAGTTTGCTTGAACCAATTGTGTTGCACCAAACGGTTATTACACTTGTTGAAATAAATTTTCAAACTTCCATCTTTCTCTAGATCATCGGTTTCGTAGCTGTGTGACAAATCGTTTGTCGTAGATAGAAAATAGTAAGATTACAGTGACCCTAAGATTTTGTGCAAATAGCCTTAAATACACCCCTGTGTGATCCGACGCGTGCCGTAGTGACAGAACTTGCAAGCCGTCGTCGGCTCCGTTTGAGCCGGTTTTATTTTATTTTTAATCGCAAATTTCGACTCTATGGACGGCTACAATATCTATGCAGGCTACTATACCAAAGATGTTTTACACCTTGTAACAGTGGAATGATATTGACGTCCAAGATTTTCTGGACGCGATTGTGTTTATATTTCACGTCCATTCTACCAATATACCGCGATCTTGATACCGCGTGATCAGAAATGACTGAGTCTGTTGGCAGTAATTTTTAAACAAAAATGTATGTAAATTTTTCTTGCAAATGCAAGAAAAATTTACGTAAATACGTTGGCATAACGGAAGTACTTGTGCGACAGATTTTGCAAATTAAAAATGTCAACAATCTGTCAATCTTAACAGCTGACAACCGGAAACTATAGAAAACATCATAATACTAATTTCCGTCGTCTTCGTTGATTCACTATAATATCAATTCAAGCACAAACTGTTTTGGCGCGCGACAAAACGGATTAATTACAGGTTCCTGTAACTCCCGAAGGGGGTGACATCTTTTGATATTTTCCCTTTTGACAAGTCGGACGATTGTAACCAATTGGAGAGACTTTAATAGTGAATCAACGAAGACGACGCTAATTTCAATTAAAAATCCAGGATTGCCAACAGACTCAGCCATTTCTGATCATGTTTTTTTTTGTACTAAAAAATATACGGTCTGTTATTATAATCGTGTACCCTGTTCTGTGCGTTTACCATTCCTACTTTTGTCCAGTCTCCCCTACAATCCTCCACGGTTACAGAAGAATGACAGAAGTGACCCTGTAAGTGACAAATGACAACCAGTAAACATAACCTTAGATCACTTGTGATTTAACAGTCTGCTACGTTTTGAAAATAAAAAAATAAATAGTAATTACATAGGTCAGCCACTTGTGCATCTCATTCGTCATGTCTCTCTTTCGAAAACCGAAAAAGACAATCCAGCGTCGTGTCTTCACCGAAAACGACGATGAAGAAGACAATGAACCGATGGAAGTTGATGAACAACCCTGCACTGATCGCGAACACAAAAAGAAAGAAGGCAAAACAAAGCACAAACAAAAACAACCACTACTTAGCTTCGAAACGGAAGAAGAAGGCGAAGTTTTCCAAGTTAAGAAGTCCTCACATAGTAAAAAAGTAATGAAGATGTTTGAAAAAGAACGTCAAAAAAAGAAAGAGATCAAGCCGGAAAAAGATGCCACCAAGCCTAAGGGAAAGACAGAAATCGTCACCGACGATTTAGTGTTGGTAGTGAACCATAAAACTACACAACCGTTGATATTGAGCGGTCGAGATGCACTTTGTGCTGGCAAAGATGATCTTTCATCAGAAGATGAAGAACCCACAACACACAAATTTTCAAAACCAGACAATTTTAAGAAAGTTTTAGAATCTGGAGCAATTCCAGATGCGGCAATGATTCATGCTGCAAGAAAACGGAGACAACGGGCGCGAGAAATGGGAGATTGTATCCCACTGGAGGAGGATGAGCCTGAGGATAAGGGAAGATTAATGCGTGAAGACGAAAATGATGGAAGTGACGATGAGAGAATTGATATGGATGTAAACTTAGCATTACGGGATCAGGAAAGGCGACGGGAGCAATTTTTGGCAGCACAGGAGTCCGATCAGGAAATTGATGAGTGGGAACATCAACAAATTAGGAAAGGAGTCACAGGTACGATTTGTCGCTGTATAATATTCTGTCATGTAATTATACTACCACGCTCTCTGTTATCATAACTACTTATAATACATACTTCAAAAAATAAAAAATAAATATAGAAGCATGAAATATCGCTATAAATAATTCGGTTTTTTCTTTTTTGAATGGCTCTTATAAATATTGAGGAATAGCTAAGGTGACAAGTGTGATTCCTAATATGAACTAATTAACTACAGTAGAGTTAAAAATAATAATTTTGAAGCAAAATATATCAATTACCGCTAATTATTGAGTCCATTATATATATTTATAGACGATAAATATGATTAATCCTTTGTTCAAAAGGAAATATTTTTAATAGCTACGGTATATTGCCGATTATAACTAAAATGTTTAAGAAATAGTTAAGTTCATGACATACATACTATTAGCTTTTACATTAAAAAAGATAAAAAGTGGATTGTATTATGAACCATTCAGAATTTTTTTAGACGAAAGTTAGCCATGAAATTTTTTCTTCACGTTGGATAAACTGATTCAGTGACAAAACTGTTTGTCTATCAGTGCGTGATACTGACGTGCACTTAAGGCTGATTTGCCACATATATGTACTTTTATTTAGAAATCATATTATCAAGTTGCAACTTTCCTTTGTATCATTAAAATTTAAAATGCCGAAAATTGTTTTGTTGCAACAAAATATTTCAATAAAAACGCGCTATCTGCAATTGAAAAAGATATTCCCCAACTCAAGCGTAACTAATGACGAGAAGCTTTTAAATATTAGACAATTAAAAAGAAATTGTAGGTGAGTAGCGCAACTGCAGAGAAAATTATTGCCGTCAATAAAGACGAAAATTTGAAAACTTTATCTTCTGGCAAACGAAAACCCACTGAGACTTTTTCAAATTATGTATGTATTTAGAAAAGATCTGCAAAGACTAATTTGGTAATACAATGAAAAAAATGTATACTTTATAACAGACACGCTTTTGGCTGATGAAATTTTTCGTATAAAGACATTTCTCCTTTCATTATTTCACTAGGTGAATCTGATTCAGGGTCAGAATCAGAGGACGGTTTCAAATTTTTGTAATGAAATAATCGAAAGGGAATAAAATAGTAAAGCGTAACTTGTCAAAAGATCAACAGCTGTAAAAACATACAGTTTACCTTTTGTCTGTTGATTCATGGGGGGGGGGGGGGGGTGCGAAATTTTAGGAACATTAAGCACGTCAAAAATGTGTAATTTTTCTATGGCAGAAAATCTATCAGAATCTCCTGAGAGTTCCTCACAATTTTTCAAATCCTTACAAATCGTTTCAGATCGCCTGTTCAAGATTTTTTCCAGTTTTTTTTTTTTATTTTTCTAGATTCTCACAAGTTACCTGAGATTCCTTCAAATTCTTTCGAATCTCCCAATTTCTCTCAAATTCTCTCAGATTCCCTCAAATTCCTCCAGATCCTTTCAGATTCTCTCATTTTCTTTCTGATTCTCTTTTTCAGATTCTTTCGATTTTTTTTATTCTTTCGTATTGTTCCGGATGCTTTTCAGTGCGTCCGGATTGTTTCAGATTCTTTCAAATTCTTTCAAAGACACCGTCAAGAATCCTCAAGATTCTTTCAAAATTTTCACTTAAGATTTATTTCTTATTTCACATGAAAAAAAATGAGAGAATGGGTGGGTGGACATGGCGAAGTCTAAATTTTCCCACGAAGTCTTTTATAAGAAAGCAATAGCCCCACCCACCCACCCCCTTTTCATTCTAGTAACGACTCTTACTATTGTTAATTAATGACAACATTGACAATGTTATTACCTTATTAGAATCTTAGGCAAATCTGTTAAACCCTTGGTGAGAAAATAGATAAATTGTTAAACAAAGTATCTACAAAGCATTAAGCTGGTGTTCAATAAGCATACCAACATGAGAACCATATTTAAAAGCAAAATTACTGATGCTCCTCCCACTTGTAAAAGCTCCACCTTAGTAAATCACTTCATTGGCCCGGATAAGAGGGCCGGCGTTTACAATTGTACATACCTCATTGTGTCTGCTTCACACAATTTATTTAATTATTATTTAAGTGTAAAAGCCGACGGTAAAGTAGTTTAAAAAAAAAATTAAAATTCAGAAAAATAAAATTTTGTCAAATAATATAATCCTAGATTTTATTATTAGAATATAATAGAATCTAGAAGAGAAATATATAATAGAATCTAATATTATATTATTTGACAAAATTTTATTTTTTATTTAGAACTGATTGTAATAATCTATTTCATTCTTAAGTCTACAATTCAACAAATTGTCATTAAAAATATCAAATATGTACATTACATATGCAATTACATAATGTAAAACAATTTAAACGTGATGAATTGTAATTGCGAAATGTATTAGGAATATATACAGCCTATGTCATTTGCCAAAATTAGTCTTAACCTAGCAAATACTAGCCCCACCCACCCGTCCTCTATTTTCATAGAGACTGTTATTTGCCACAGTCTGATCTTCAGCAAGTACCAGCCCCACCTACCCACACTTGTTGTTCTTAGAGAATATGTCATTTACCAAATCAGTCTTATCTTAACAGGTACTAGCCCCTCCCACCCGGACAATTCTCATTATTCTACCTATTTTATTTCTGTTCAGTATAAGATCCACCTTTCATTCGGAGCAAATAAAAGCAATCACTGAAATAGAGGCGGGGTGGGTGGGCGGGGTTTATTATATTTTCTTCTTTTCTTCTCCTAAATTTTTCTAAATTCTCGAAATTCCTCAAAATTCACCCAAATTCTCACAAGTTCCTTCAGATTCTTTCAGATTCATTACGGATCTCTCACATTCTCGTAGATTCCCTCAGATTCTCTGTCTTCTCACATTCTCTTAGATTCTCCCAGAGTCTTTCAGATTCCTTCAGATTTTTCCGATTCTATCAGATACTGAAGAATTTTTCACCTTCCAGATCCTTTCAAATTTTTTCACATCGCTTCAGATTCCTGCAAACACGATCACATTCGTACAGATTCCGTCAAATTCCTACAGATTCTTTCCTTTTCTTTACGACTCTTCCTTCTAATAATAAATCCTCAAGATTCTTTAAAATTTTTCAGTTCGGTTCAGATTGGTTGAGGTCCTTACAAATCCTTTCAAATCCCTGCAGACTCTTCCAAATTCTTGCAGATTTTCTAGATTCTTTTAGATTTTCCTAGATTCTTCGAAATCCTTTCCGAATCTCTCAGATTCTCTCACATTCCCTTAAATTCTCTCAGATTTTTTCTGATTTTCTCAGATTCTTTAAAATTTTTCCAAATCATTTCAGATTCTGTCATTTGCTTTCTGATTTTTTCTTTCAAATTCTTTCGATTTTTTTCTTTATTCTTCGGATTGTTCCGGATGCTTTTCGATGCGTCCGGATTGTTTCAGATTCTTTCGAATTTTTTCAAATTCTTTCAAAGACACCGTCAGGAATCCTCAAGATCTTTCAAATTTTTCAGTTCTATTCAGATTGTTTCAGATTCCTGCAGATTCTTCCAGTTTTTTTTTTAGATTCTCTTAGATTTTTCTGAATTCTCGAAATTACTCAAAATTCGCTCAAATTCTCTCGATTTACTCACATTCTCTGAGATTCTCCCAGAGTCTTTCAGATTCCTTAAGATTTTTCCGATTCTCTCAGAGTCAAGAATTTTTCACCTTTCAAATCGTCAGATCCTTCCAGATCCTTTCAAATTTTTTCACATCGGTTCAGATTCGTGCAAACTCGTTCAGATGCTTCCAGATTCCCTCAAATTCCTCCAGATTCTTTTTTCTTTACGACTCTTCCTTTTGAATATAAATCCTCAAGATTCTTTAAAATTTTTCAGTTCTATTCAGATTGTTTGGGATTCTTACAAATCCTTTCAGATTTCTTCAGACTCTTCCAAATTCTTCCAGATTTTCTAGATTCTTTTACATTTTGCTAGATTCTTCGAGATTCTTTCGGAATCTCTTATATTCTCTCACATTCCCTTAAATTCTCTCAGATTTTTTCTGATTTTTTCAGATTTCTTTCAAATTTTTCCAGATCATTTCAGATTCCTGCAGACTCTTTCAGTTTCTTCTAGATTCTTCCAAACAGCTAATATCCACCCACCAAGATAAGAATAACAAAAATATTTTACATTTATTTTTAAAATAGGCATTAGAAAAAAAAAATATTGGGCAGAAATGTATCGCCGAGAAATAATAAAAATAATAATACAACGCAAACCCATTCCTGAGGCATTGCCTCACCTGCCTAATAGGACAAGCCGCCCCTATTAGAATGGAAAATACAAAGTGGGAAATTACTCGCAACAGTGTTAAAGTTTTTGTCCGATTTTCTAATATTACAAAAATAACTTATTACCTAATATGATAAATTTCATTTTTCATTAGGGATCTTTTCATATACGAAATTGGTTGCCAACCAAATTACTGGATTTACATGGCCTGTTTTTGTCTAAAAACATCCTGAACGGCAGGATAACTAGAGAGTAATTTAAAAAATGATCTAAGCTAGCCATGGATTTTTGAAGATTTGTCTTTGATCGTTGCATTTCCAATTCAAACTTTCAAATTGACAGTTATTTGTTCAGATGAAAATCTATCAAAGACAAATGTTCAAAACCCGTGGCTGTTTTTAATCGAGTTTTTTACTGCTCACGTGGTATATGGCTAGAGTAATTTTTTTAAATAGCCAACTAAAATTAATTTCTCAGTTGAAAATGGTTCTACAAATTACCGAAAAATGTCTAGTCTAAAATTTTGGCTTTTGCTATCGATGTTGCTATTTAGAAACGAGTATTCCTATAAGTAAAATCATGTTCTTTTTCAGGGGCTTCTGCAGCTTTGCCAAGCGATCTTGTGTTTAATGAATTTCAATCAGAAACACCACAACCAATTGTTACCATACCTGCTCAAGCTATCGATCCAGGTATTCCCCGAACTCCACAAATGATCGCCGATAAATTGCGTGAGCACTACGAAAGTGTGTGCACATCACGTGAAAACAACATCAAAAAATTGCAACAAACGCAACAAGACATTGAACAAATTACTCTGGAGTTAAACGAATTAAAAACAAAGGCTCCTGTTGCCGCTGAACGTTTTAAATTTTATCAAGAACTTCGGGGCTATATTACTGATTTAGTAGAATGTCTTGATGAGAAAGTAAGCGTAATAGCAACTTTAGAACAACGCGCGATGGATCATTTAGCAAAACGATCGGAATGGTTGATTGAAAGGAGAAGACAAGATGTGCGTGATCAGGCTGAAGAGGCAACAAATAAAACAGGTGTGATGAAAGGACCAGAGGATGAAGAGAAGATTCGAAGAGCCGCTGAAAGGGAAGGGAGGAGAACGAGAAGGAGAAGAGCGAGAGAAATCGGTGGACAGCCCAAACATGTTGAGGGAATGTCAAGCGATGATGAAATCTCACAGCAAGACGTACTGAATTTCGATAAAGAACGCGAACAGCTGGAGTCTGAAATACAAGTTGTGTTTGAAGACGTCGTCGAGGATTATTCTTCGGTGGCAAATATTTTAATCAAGTTTGAAGAGTGGCGGGAAACAGATATCGCGGCGTATAATGAAGCATATGCCACACTCTGTCTACCCAAAGTAGTGAGTCCGTTAGTGAGGTTGGATTTAATATTCTGGGATCCTTTGAACGATTCTGTCGATATTGAACGATTGGAATGGTATCGAACATTAGCGTTGTACGGGTTGCATGACGATGAGACGGAAACTACGTTGGCGCAAGACCCAGATATAAATCTGTTGCCCACGATCGTTGAAAAAATCATTATTCCAAAATTGACGCAGTTGGTGGATAGGTGTTGGGATCCTTTATCTAGTTCGCAGACGCTGAAACTTGTCGGAATAATTACTCGTTACGTTCGGAAATTCCCGACTCTTGGACCAGCAAGTAAGGCTTTAAGCAACTTGTTTAATGCAATTTTACACAAAATGAAGTGCGCTCTGGAACATGATGTTTTCATTCCGCTAACACCTAAATTAATCGAGAGTAAATCGCCATTTTTCCAAAGGCAGTTTGCTAGTGGTTTAAAATTATTAAAAAATATTACAAGCTGGCAAGGAGTTCTTAATGACAATACTCTGAAAGAGCTGGCGTTGAACTCGTTGCTGAATCGATACTTACTCAGCGCAATTAAATTTTGTTTGCTTACTGATGCGGTATCTAAAGTCAGTTTAATAAGCCTGATATTACCAAGGATATGGTTACAAGGGAACACAGCAGAACTAAAAATGTTTAACAGTAGTGTGTTGAATTTATCACAGCAATTAGATAAAAATAACCCTTTGCATTTAGAAAGTATAGATCTTTTAAATAATATTCTTAAAACAATACGTACCTAATTGTAAAATTTCTTTGTATAAGTGTATTTGATTTTGTAATTTACGGTCACCAGATAAAAAGAGTATGTGTGAGCATTATTGTTTTTGATTGAACCTTTATTCATTGTTTCTGATTTTGGTAAGTGTGTAGGTGTCGAGATATCTCGTTTAACGTGAATTCATGTTGTAATTACCAATGAGGTTGAGAACGTGGTTCCGTGCGTTGTTATACGCCACTGCTTTTATAATAATACAGGTAATAATTTAAACACAATAGTAGCATATACATATTTTATAAAAATAAATTTTCCTTTTAGATCCCCTTTGAAAACATTTTGAATGAACAATTAGGCGATGAAGAAATTTTCGTTAAAAAGAGTAAATTGATCTTAATGTGTAAATTTTTTTGTAATTTTGTTAACAGTGGTGTGGTGTTCTCAAAGCAACATATGGAAATGCTGAAGACGATATTTATTAATTACGACGTTACAAACTTAGGAAACCTTGGTGTTTTGACTGATATTTTTGACTATGGTTACGAAATGCAGGATAGTTTTTGGAATATGTTTTATATTATATTTGGTTGGCGATTATAAGATTGTGTAGGAGTTAGTGAGATCATTTTAAATTCTCGTTAAATAAATATATATAGGTATATATGACTCAAAGTATACTCCTGCTTGTCTAAAATGACTTTACAACTGAATTCTTGAGCCAACGTTTTAATATTACCTAGTTCTTGCGGATGACATTCTAAAATGTTGATAACTAAGGCTCGGATAATATGCAAAATGCATATTTTTGCATATTTTAAAATGTTTAATTGGTAATTGGTGAAAATATTAATTTTAATGCAGGTGGTTATTAGCAGTATGCAGGTAAGTAAGCACCGACCTTTACTAGTTATGCGGATGGGTTTTTCCAAGACTTCATTTATGGATACCCCCAGTTAGGCGTATTACTGGAATTCTTTACTTAACCGCCCCTATAAGCCGGATATTGTAAATATAGATAGTTCTGCGGATGTATTTAACGAGGGGTTGGAAGAGATGGAAAACCTAGAATGAATTTGTAAGTATTTAATTCTTTGATTTCCAAATTAATTCATCATTCGTCTACGAACTTGGCGACAGAGCAGTGATATTACGAATAATTAAAAAAATGTCTTCCAAACTATCATCGTGGATTCGGCTCTACTCAGAGTTGGTTCTAGATGGAGATGGTGTTTTTGCAAATCTTGGGGCTAAGCAGTAAGTGTTTTAAAATATATGTTCAGTTCTTGCACTAAAGTCTAAGAGAACTAAATAAAAAAATATTATTTGTATGTTATTCAATGTCAATAATAGGTATTTCTTACATAAATAATTATTTGTTTTCAGTTTTTTTATAGATTTCGAGCACAAAGAAAAATCTTATAGACCAGCACTGCAGAACACCTCTTCACAAAAGAAATTGTGTGTGTAGTCATCTTTTCACAACAAGAAATTTAAAACATGTTTAAAATGGTAAATTTGTATAGTAACCGTATTCGAGATACACCTACATAAATTTTTATGGCACCAATCACTCAAAAAGCGGTGCTCCTGAAACCGCAACCATAAATTATGAAAAGGGCTTGACAGGTCATTTTATACAGAGCCGTACTCGGGTTGAGTTGAAAGTTTTACCTGCTTTCGGTAATGAAATTGTTTACTCAAATTCCCAAAGTACTTTGGGTGGATTTGAATTGGTCTTCATTCCAATAACTGATTTCACGTCTTACTTGTCGGTCGTTATAGGGACTTGTAATCTTATAAATATTATTTAACTAATACAATTTGTCTATTATTTCACCTTATTTTTGACGTGACAACGTCTTATAAATCGATGGAGCCGGCTGCACGCTCGAAAAAGCATGACTCATGCGCCGTTACATCGCTCTGAGGCGTCCCATGTAAGGCTTGAAGTGCAAGCGAGAACGCGGAACGAGCGACAAAGAGGCACAATCGGCCTTCGCGTTCGGCAGCGTTCGCCATCCGTCTCTCTCCTACTTGAGTGAGCGATGCGTCTGCGTGGACAGCTGCTATATTATAGTACATTGACATGTTTTGGTCGAGTATCAAGTGCAGTAAAAAGTGAATGTAGTGTCAATTTTGACGTGACAACGATAATATTTTAAGAATTTTATTTAAATTGTTTCGAACGACGATTTATTTTGCAGAACTGCTTACAAACGCACCATGGAAAAAAAGCCTGACAAACCAGAGGATGTTACGAATAAGCCTTTACCTTCAATGAGTGAACCCATGGAGGTTCAAGATTCTGTAGCATTTACTTTAGCAACGCCATTCGCGCAGCCAATAATCGCTGCTTCAAAATCAAAAGCCCAAAACCATTCCATCAGTATTTTCTTAAGACGTTGTCACGTTCAACTATCGTCAGTAAACCGACTTTACAGACAACCGAGTTTTTTTAACAGAGTACGGCCCTGAAAAATTCTGCCGAACGTGCCGATATCCGGTCGCATAGGGTGTTAAAAGCAATAAATTACTGTTGCCATTGTGCAGGGGTTTCACTAATTATCTGTCATAAAGTTTTATGTGGGTGTATCTCGAATGAAATTTGTATATAGGGAAATATCGATTTTGCAATTACGCTCCGCCCCTCGGTCTGACAACGAATGAAAAATTCATCACGATTGAGGTTGAGACGGATGGGTGGGGCTTCTCTTTTGGTTTTCTTTTTTAATTAATACATTTATTGGTTTCCTTTCTATTGTATAACACGACTACTTAAGAACATATTTCAGATGGTGATTTCTGGTAAAAAAATAAGGATATTACAATTAAGCTCCGCCCCTTGGTTTACGACGAATAAAAAAAAATCATCAGAACTGAAATAGGTCGGGTGGGCGGGGCTTATATTTTCCATTTTTTTTTAATATACATAGCCATCTTTTCACAATAAGAAACTTGGAACATGGTTAAAATGGTACATTTTTGCAACGAAATGTGGATTTTGCAATTATGGGGCGGAGCCTAATTGCAAAATCGATATTTCTTTATACAAATTTTCCATTTTAAACATGTTTTAAGTTTCAGGTTGTGAAAAGAAGTCTACACATATTGAAACAAAAAGGCAAAATATAAGCCCGCCCACCCGCCCTATCTCAATTGTGATGATTTTTTTTATTCACCGTGAACCAATCGTGATGAGCTTAACTGTAAAATACGTATTTCTTTACAAGAAATTAAAAAAATATTTTTGAGTATTGTGTTTTTCGAAGAATACTATGTATATTAATAATATCATTAATAGAGCTGTGCGGTTGAAATTTATTTACCCCCACTGTCGGCCCACAGTGCCGATCGCCTTGCTCGCTTCTCGCTTTTCAGTTGTGGATTATTTTTGATAATTCACACAAATAGTTTTATTGTCAGCGAGACGGACACCTGAACATTATTAAAATTATGATTACTCTTATTTCGTGAATATGGATTTTAAAATCATCAACTGACATGCCGTTAACATTATTTTTCGCGTAATTTTCTTCGCGATACATAACGTCGGTTGCAAGCCTATGGCCTGCCGGAGTGGGGGTCAATTCGCAGCGTTTAAATTTCAACCACACAGCTCTAATCATTAATAATAATAACGAAGCCATTCTCATTGACATTGCTGTTCCTAACACAAACAACATTATTCAAACATACCACACCAAGATTTCAAAATATCTACAATTATCGATAGAAATGAAATCCATGTTGAATCTTAAAAAAAATTCAATTCTACCCCTAGTTATCTCTAATGTAGGTGTAGTTCCAAATAGCTTAGTTGAGAATTTAAAGTCTTTGCATTTGAATGATTCAATAATTATCAAAATTCAAAAAGCTGTTTTGTTAGGAACATGTCATATTGTTCGTAAGTTTCTTGAACAGTCTGATCATGTCAGTCAGATTAGATTAGCATCAGTAGGTCAGAGTAGTGTAGGTCACTTTCCAAGTGATGCGCGGATAAATGGTCGGTAGTTACGGTAGACTTTTGGGGATGGGGTGAGATTAGAGAATAATAGCAGACTAATTTGTATGCTGTAATTCTAGAATCTCGAAAGTTGTTCTGTTAATCTAATCAATGCATATCATTACTTGGTCTTAGTACCCGTAATGATAGAAGTCTTGCCTGAATGCCGGTCATTTCCGGGTCAGTGGTGGGTCTTAAAATAATAAAGGTATTAATAAAAAATAACGATGAAAATTAGGATAAGTACAAATTAATGAAGATAATATAGTAAACCATTAAGACTAGAAACATAAACTTGAATGTATGTAGGAGTAACCTCAAACTAAACATATTAATAACAAATAGGGATAATATGAATACAATTACAACACTAACAACTTTAGAAGAGATTTACATGTGTGTTGAGCTGAATCGAAATTGAAATAATCACAGTCACTGCTAATTAAGTTGCAATAGTTATACATAAGCGCAACCACAGACCTGCATTTATCAAAAATCAGCTTTCTCTAAGGGCTGGGGTAATTTCGGCAGTCCATAGCTAGCACCATGGGCACGGGAGGTGGTCATTATTAAAGGCCTCGACTGTACCTGTCTAAACGAGTTAAGACTAGGCCTTCCATATAATAGTCAAACTTAACAATAGAAGCTTTTCTCAAGTAAGAGACAACGAAGCACTTAGATTTATTAATTGAGAGACGATTACACTTTCCTCAGTAAATTAGACGATTTAAATCTAATTGAAGTTGTTGACAATCGCTCAAAGATTTGACCTCCAAGAAAAGTTGTAAGTCGTCAACAAATAGCAGTTTATTGCAATTCAGCCAATCAACTATATCGTTAATAAACAATATGAACAGCAAGGGGGCCAGATTAAGAAAAAAAGGTCAAATATAAACCCCGCCCACCAACCCCATCTCAATTGTGATGATTTTTTTTATTCTTAGAAATTTAAAACACGTTTAAAATGGTAAATTTTTGTAAAGAAATATGGATTTTGCAACTAGGGTCCGCCGCCCCTAGGTCTGCTAACGAATAAAAACTTCATTACTATTTAGATTGGGACAGGTATGGGTGGGCTTAATCTTTGGCTTTAATTTTTTCTTAATATACATAGTATTCTTTGAATAACAGGATACTCAAACACATGTTTTACATGGTAATTTCTTCTAGAGAAATAATAAGGATTTTACAATTAAATTTCGCTCCTTTGGCTCTCGACAATTAAAAAAAAAAATCATCACAATTGAGATAGGGTGGGTGGGTGGGGCTTATATTTTGTCTTTTTTCTTAATATACGTAGTCGTCTTTTCAAAACAAGAAACTTAAAACATGTTTCAAATGGTAAATTCTTGTAGACAAATACGGATCTTGCAATTAAGCCCTGCTCCTCGATCTGACAACGGATGAAAAATTCATCACAATTGAGAACTGAGATCGGGGCGGGTATGGGTGGGGCTTAATCTTTTGGCTTTATTTTTTTCTTAACATACATGGTATTCTTTGAACAACACGATACTTAAAAACATGTTTTAATTTCTCGTAGAAACATAAAGATTTTGCAGTTAAGCTCCGCTTTCTTGGCTCAATCTCTCACCGTACGTAGTATACCTACCTATACCAGTGATGCCTATACCTATTATTTAAATTAAAAACAAACGTTTATTTAATTTAGTTTTTGTAACCACGCGCAAACAAGGAAACAATTACACCTATTTTTGTAATATAGCACAGATATGTATTACAATTATTATACTATTCCTAAATGGAATTTGATGAAGAAACAAAAGAGGCTTTCATAGCTTCTGATTGGCAATAAAAATTGCCGAAATAAAATAAACTGTCTACCGTACTAATTCATAAAACCCGCCAGAAATGTAGTTCTAACGGTCAGTTACTTTGCGCACTTTGAATTCTTAGGTTGTCCACCTGCTTATTTTCTCCAAGTTTGTAACGGTTTTGTTTTGTTTTGGTTCGTTTCGAATTTAAAATCGTTCTTGTGTCATTAAAAAACAAGAACGAATCCATTATCGCTTTTTTTGTATTTATGATTAAAAACATACACATTACATTCACGAAGAACTAAAATTATGGGTGCACAAGAAAGTAAAGTCGATCAACCCCCCAAAGAAAATGTATTAAAAACACCTACCCCCAGTGAAAGTGTTCCTTCTTCACCGATATTAACCCCCTCGGATCCGCGATCACCAAGTGCAAATATTGCACGAACGCCTATGGAGGTATGCTGCATTAATTATTACTCTTCGTAGTAACAGTAAAGTAATTAATTTACAGGCTATTTTGGGATCAAAATCGAAAGAAGATGTTCCTGATGAGGCACAGCAAGACACTTCTGAACCAAACGATGTCGTTAATGTGATTTTCGGTATTGATCCTAGATCTCCAACAGTAGAATTCAACAGAACCCCTATAATCGTTGGTGCTGTGGCTAAGGAAAAATCAACAAAGTTGCAGAATAAAAATTTGGACAACGTTCGCAAGTTGGAAATTCAAACTACTCCAGTTACAACTATAAGAAAATCTTCAAATATTGTTCCATCAAAGTTAAAGCATAGTCCAGGTTCAGTTGCTTCCGAGAACAAACGAAAATCTTTTGTGGGTTTGCTTGAAACAAATATTGATTTTACAGAAACCGATTTAGATGCTGTTTGTCAAGCTAAAAATATACTGAATCAGAGTTTGCCAGTTGCACTAGCCGAAGATGTGCCTTCTAATAAATTAAAAGATCAGATGGAGACGTTGCAGATTGCCAGTGCCTGCACTACAGAGCTTTCTAAAGAATTGAAAGAAAACGACTCACAAAGTGAAGACAAAGAAGTTGAATTGCCTAATGAACGAATTGTGGAAGAAAAAGTTGTGAATGTTACAGCTCAAGTTAAGGATTTTGATAAAAAACTTACTAATTTAATTTACGAAGATGATAGTGAAGAGGATAAACTCACTCTGAGATCTACCAAAGTTAAAGAAAATAACCGCACGCCACTAAGTATTAGAAATATGAATGACGACCCCAAAAGAATCAAAAACAGGCTGAAAGTCAGTGATAAGTCAAGGAAAACCGAAATAAGTAAAATCCCTGTTTTTAAAGACAATCATAGAAAAATTGGAGTCCAGTGTGAAAATACGCCTCCGACTAAATTTGAGGAGCCACAGTACAAACCTAAAGTATCTCGTTGGGATGCAGATAAAACTTTAATTATCTAATTTATTCAGTTAACATGTTTTGTTTTTTTTTAACTTTTAGATTATGCTGAACTCAGTAGCTGTAAATGATTCTTTATGCCATTATTTATGTAAATAGAGGTAGTTTTTTTACACTTGAATGTGATTTAAAATAAGCAGCCTGTATTCAAACTTAATATCGCCAAAGTTCAATTTGTCTTTTGCAGAAATAAAAGGTTTTTGATTGAAATCGTTTCCATTATTTATAATCTCGTTTATGCTTGTGCCTAGATTTTAAATCGAAGATGGCCTATCATAGGGAAATTTATAATTTGACAGTTGATGAGTTGACGTAAATTTGAAGGTTAAGTTTGAAACGAATCGGCAACAATTTTTTTTACATAAATGGTAACAAACTTAATTACATCAAAGCGGAACCAAACATATCATGTTTGAAACCATGAGGAGAAAAGTTAGTAAGCTGAAGTACTATAAAACTCCTCTTGTAATGACCTTTTCATTCCTACTGGGTTGTATGTTAACCATAAACTTAACCCCCATTGACAAGACGTGTAAAATAGAGGATTCAGATAAAGAGTACAACATTCTGAAGAATTCAAAATTGAAGAATCCTGATCTTATAGTACTTATACTATCAGCTCCAAAAAATTTGGACAGGAGAAATGTGATTCGACAAACATGGTTGCAACTTGTGGATACAAGCCCAGAAAATGAAAACGTTAAATTTAAAATGAAACATTATTTTGTTGTGGGTAGTTTAGGGCTATCTGTAGATGATATTTTACATTTGACTACTGAACAGTCACAATTTAGTGATATTTTAATTCTTCCAATGCATGATAGTTATCAAAATTTGACTTTGAAGGTCTTGAAAAGTTTCGAATGGTTAAGTGAACAGTTTGATTATGGCTTGGGTTTTAAGTATGTTCTCAAGTGTGATGATGATAGTTTTGTTCGATTAGATAAATTATCAACTGAAGTAGCTAATGTAGAACTAATTTATATTAAATCGGAGTTAAAACATGTTAAAACGTTGACTGAAGATGTTTCTTCCCCATTTATTAGAACTAATCTCCAAATAAATAAAGAAGAAGTTAAAAATGATGTGCAGTTGTATTGGGGATATTTTCATGGAAATGCCAGAGTGAAAACAACTGGAAAATGGAAAGAATCAGACTGGATAGTCTGTGATAGATACATACCATATGCTCTTGGAGGAGGATACATACTTTCAAAGAAATTGGTGTCATATATTGCCAACAATCGTGATAGTCTTAGGTGGTATTTCTTTTTAAAAATTGAACATAAAATAATTGCATTTGTGTTGTAGATATTATAACTCAGAAGATGTTAGTGTAGGAATGTGGTTGTCATCTGTGAAAAACATACTTAGAATACATGATATAAGATTTGACACAGAATGGACAACAAGAGGTTGCCAAAACCACTACTTGATCACACATAACATATCTAAAGAGGAAATGCAGAAAATGTATGAAAACATAGTAGCCACAAATAATTTGTGTGCAATGAATGTTATAAAAAGAAGATACTATTTCTACAACTGGGCCGTTCCTCCTAGTCAGTGCTGCAGTATTAAAGAAAATACAAACTAGAATTTAAAATGATTTATTTGAATAAGATACTTATCAAGTGTTCATAAAAATAAATTTTAGTCACCATCTGATTGTGAGTCTTTCTTTTCATCACTAACTTCTGGTTGTTTATAATGCCTGTACTCTGGTTTTAATTCCCACATATTTTTATGTGGATTTTTCAAATTATAATTGCAAACTTCTTTCAAGATCTCTTTTAAATAAGTTATTGGTTGTTTAGTAATTTTAACCAAATCTTTGATGTTGTAGTATTGATGTTTTTCAAATGCAGCAAATAACATTTCCAAAACAGCATCTTTATCATCACGAGCTTTCTTTCCTTCGGCTTTCTTCCGTTCCATATATTCAATCTAGAACAGAAATTGATGTCACCTACGTTAGATCTACACTGTATTTGATCTACTTACATTATTTTTGTGGTCTGACACTGGTTTATAAGACGTCACCACTCTATCAAGTTGTTTAACTTTTCTTGTTGGTAATGAAGCTTTTCTAATAGATTCTAATTTCAGTTTCATATAACAATTATCTGCATAAGGTCTACACTCAAGTTTCTGTACAATTTTACCTTCCATGTACAACTTCTCAGTTTCTGGGATAACTGAATCAGTTTGTGATGCTATAAAGTGCCAGTGCAATAATTTTATAAAAAGCTCTCAACAATGACTTACGTATAACATGTGAAAAAACACCTAACGTTTGTTGAGTTACCTTTGACACATCTAATCTGTGGTCTTTGGGAATGGGTTCTTCACCAGGCTCACTCAAATTTAAAATAGCCGATGACAACGTTAGAGAAACCTGGGCTTTTGGCCCAGATCTGAAAAAATACAGTTAGTACATCTATACTTCCTACTTTTTTGGTAATAATTACTTGCAAATTTTTAGTTTGCCTACTTCCATATCACTGGGAGCTTTCTCCCATCTATTTGCAACATATTTGGGGACTTTTACAAGCCACACTCCTCGATTAGCGTTTGATAAATCTAGATCTCTATCAATGTGTGAATCTTTCGACATTTTCGTGCTAATGTATAAAATATATTTGACCAGGTAATAAATTAATTCTATTTCACCTTCTGCCTTCTGGTCTGGAAAACTTTTTAATCGACTGTTTACTTGACAACCTTGTCATTCACATTCACAGCTGGCATCTGACACATATTTTTATTTTTTCCAGTGTTACCAATACCAACCTTTCTAAGTGGCGTTCATAAACTCACTAGACATTTGCGAAATGTGGTGGGCGGTAGCTTACCGTTGGTTATTCCCATGATACAAGAAAACAAGGTATGCTATTGCGCACATCTGCGTGACGTCACCCGGTTACATATGACTGCTAAATTTAAACTTCAGCGAACGCAAAGGTCGACGAGCAAACTATGTAATTATTAGTTGTAAATTAAGAACTTTAAGTGTACGATAAACGTGTTATCCTTAAAAAAGTATTAAATACATAATATGTTGTTTAAAGTTTTGTTTTTATTGGAATACATCATATTTTTGAATGTGTAGAATTTTATTTAGCCTAATGTGTACGTTTCACTACATTTACTTACAACACTTTTCATCAAAAAGAGCGTTATAAGCATTGTTCTACACCGACAGGTTAGTATTAATATTATTATAACCATAGAAGCTCTGTTCGTTCTTTTGGCGGCAAATCGTGTTTGTAAAAACAAGTGTATTTTGCAGTGCTTTGAATTTCAAACTTTGAGTTTGTATCGAAAATGGCGAAATGTGCAGTGCTTGGATGTTCAAGTTCATATATAAAGTGTAAAGACAATAAAAACATTCACTTCTTTAGGTTTCCGAAAGAAAAATCCATTTGTGAAGAATGGGTAAAATTTTGCAACAGAAGTGATGTCATTAATATTAAAAATGGTGAGACAAATGTTCATGTATTATAATTTATTAAAACAAAACCTATACCAACAAAAAACAGTTACAACATAATATATTTTACCTTTCAGCTCGTATGTGTTCGTTGCATTTTGCTGCTCAGTGCTTTTATAAGTCTCTACAACACAGGCTTTTGGAGTACAGCCCTAAATGCAGGCGGAGGTTAATGCCTAATGCCATCCCGACAAAAAATGGATTTAACAAAAGTAAGTTGTCGCCAAGCCCGAAAGGCTGCACGCAGATACAACACATAGTTGAAACAGCATCGCCAACAAACTATAAAATTCAGACAATGAGTTCTCACATTATATCACCAAAACGGTGTGGAAGGAATTTATTTGGCGATGATGTTAAGCCCCTGCAAGAAGTAGCAACGTTTGACTGGCAAGCAAAGTATGAGCAATTGGAACAAAAATATAATGATTTGCTTACAAAGACTCAACTGACAGAAATGAAAAATATGGAACTAAATGAACAATTAGAAAAAACATCATCTGATACAAAAGTAGTACAGGCTTTGTCAAACATTTTTACAAAGTCTCAAATAAAAGCTTTAATTAGCCAAAAACGAGTGAGGTGGACAACTGAAGATATTTCGGCTGCAATTTCACTTCGCAGTATTAGCCCCAAAGCGTACAGATATTTGAGACAACAATGTAAATATCCACTTCCCGCACTGAGTACATTACGCAAATGGGCCTGCTCGTTTACCATAAACCCAGGGGTTTTAAACGATGTTTTGATTTTAATGAACGACAAGGCTCGCTCACTGTCAGAGCTTGAACGCATCACGATACTATCATTTGATGAAATGTACATCAGGGATCAGATCTGCCTTGATAAAACTCTTGAGCAAGCGTTGGGTCCTCACAGAGCCGCACAAGTGATTATGTGTCGTGGATTGTTTTCGCCATGGAAGCAGCCAATTTATTATAACTTCGACACACCTATAAAAAAAGAAATATTATTGAACATTGTCAGTCAACTTTATGAATGCCAATATACCGTTGTAGCAATTGTTAGTGATATGGGGTCAGGAAATATGGCACTGTGGAAACAGCTCCAAATAAATATAGACAATGTTTGGTTTCCACATCCATCTGATTCAGAAAAGTTAATTTTTGTTTTCGCTGACATTCCACATCTGCTAAAATTATTGCGAAATCATTTTCTTGACCAAGGTTTTGAAATTAATGGAGAAATCATCACTAAAACATATGTTGAATCATTATTGAAAACGTCACAATCCTCTGATTTAAAAATTGCACATAAAATTACTCAGTATCACCTTGATGTTAAAGGCAGTCAGAGGCAGAAGGTCAAACCTGCTGCACAACTCTTTTCAAATACCGTTGCAAAAGCCATACAGTGGTGTGGCGATAACAAAATAATTGATGGGAACTACTCAGAAACATCGAAATTCATTCAACTTGTCAATGACTGGTTCGACATTTTCAACACCTACCTAAAATTTTCACCATCAGGAGTAAGTGCTTATGGCATTGAACTTGACAAGCAAAATTTAGTAATAAATATGATGACAGAGACAATGAAAAATGTTCGAGCCATCGGAAAGTCAACATTATTACCATTTCAAAAAGGTGTCATCATCAGTAACAAATCATTACAAGCGTTGTTTGAGTATATGAGTAAATTCTACAATATCAGTTACATTTTAACCCGACGTTTAAATCAAGATGTACTCGAAAATTTTTTTTCATTGATTCGGGGAATGGGAGGCAGTAATGATCATCCCAACCCCATTGATTTTAAATATCGGTTGAGGTGGTACATACTGGGTAGACACTCCTCAGCTGCCATATCCATAAATAAGAACTGTGAGAAAGATGATGATGAATCATTGCTTACTCCCTTGGAAGAGAAAGAAATTTGTCTAACGGAATCTCTTTTCTCATCAATAATCAACACCAAATGTGTTCTTCCAAGCAATGAAGATAGCCACTTGGCCAAATTGCAGTTTGTTGATACTGATACTCATCATTTTTCTCAAGTCGAAGTCGAAGTTGATGTAGAAGACAATAAAATTTCAACAGAAGGACTTCGATATGTGGCGGGGTATGTTGCCCATCGTTTTCGTCACAAATATCCCCACCTTGGAACACCAGCAGAAAATGTACCACACTCTTTTGAAGCAGATTGGATTCAATTTCTCTCCAGGGGAAATTTACTGCAGCCCTCTAGTGACCTTCTGCATGCGGCGGAATTATTGGAAACACTATTCTTGACCTTCCATGGAACTCAAATCAACAAGCAACCATATATAATTAAATATCTAGTACAACAGTTAAAGCGTCACTTACCAGAAAATATGTTAGCAGACGAAGTTTACCATTGTTTAGTTCGCACAAGAACGTTTATTCGAATTCGCGAATTAAATAAAAGATCATTTTATGCTAACTTAAAACGACAAAATAAAAGAAAAATCAAGAAAATCTGTGGAAAATAACAAAACGTATCTGCAAATCTGCAAACAGGTTAATGTTTTGACTTTTGACATCATCAACACATCACTGACAGCTGCTACATCAAGGTCTTGTGACGTCAGTTGGTTGTGCTCAGAAAATGCACAAACTCGTCCACCGGAGTAGCATACCTAAAGTCTTTGTATCATGGTTATTCCTAGCTTATTTCCCATAGATGAACCCTACGTTGTGTTTTGAAATAACGAAATGTGTTCAAATGCTAATCGTGGTAAAGTGGCTCCGAATTAAAATGCAAATGGTGACAACATTATTAGTGTTGTTAATAAATAAATAGCCCAAAAATATCCGGATAAATATCCGAGACTATTTATTAAAATAGCTGCGAAGTTTTTAATTTCATATTTGGCGTCAATGGAATGGAGATGGAATTTGCCAAATGGAACATTTTTTTTTAAATAAAGGCGAATAAGAGAACAATGAAACCCGTTGCAAGCAAATCTCCTTTAAAACGGATTAATAATAGTTAGTATTAAAAAAATATAAACAAAACAAAGCAAGTGATTCAAAAACAGAAGTGGAGATTGATACCTATTAAGTAAGGGTTGTGAATAAGCCGATGAAAATAAAAGTTCTGAGACTAAACTTTTCAGTAAGTTACAATAATTTTAAGAATTCTATTTTAGATAAAGTTCTTTTATGACTATACAGGGTGTCCCAGAATTCGCGCCATTCCCGTGAATGACATGTTCCCTGTCCCGAACTGTGCCGTAATTCGCAAAAAGAATTGTCCAGGCTTTAACCGTGTGAGAACTGGAAGGCGATTAAGTTGACCAATAGAGAGGCTGCTTTTATATCCGAACGTTTCTATGTTCAAAGTTACCTATGCCAAGAACAAAAAATCGGGTAATACTAAAGTTGAATGAATTTTTTCCGAATCCCCCTCCGTCAACAAAGAAAACAGAAGTATGGTTATAAATTTAATCATTTTGACAATTGTTTGTCATAAACTGTCACGAAGTTCATCACTGATCTGAAGAGACGCTTCTGCGCCAAAGATGACTGATTAATGTACACAGAGAGGTCAAGGTTTAGTTTGAGGCAAGTAGCATGGAACAGAAGTTATTTCTGCTGCCATTCTAGTTAAATTGTGTTTAACTGGGCTGTACATGTCATAAGAGAAGCTGTTTCATTTCATCGTAGGCAAATAATACATTTATTACTATTCTACATAGAGTAGCTACCGAAAAGCAGGTATTAGAAGTCATTTTCTTAGAGCCCCGTGAATAATCGTCGGCACCCAGACCAACAAGTGTTTCACCGATTGTTACATCGAGCAAGAGAAGATGGATCTTTTCAACCTAGTCGGAAAGGCCGTGCTGGGGCTCCACGGAATGTACGTGTGGGTGCTGAAGAGCAAGTGTTAGAAAACATGGAAGCGGATCCTAGGAGAAGTGTCCTCTATGTAGCGCAAATGAGTGGATGCTCAAGATCGACCACTCATCGTATCCTTCAAGAGAGAATACTGCATCCTTACCATTACACGAAAGTGCAGCATCTGCGACCAACCGACTACATTTTGCTCAATGATTTTTGCAACAAAATGAACTAAATCCTGATTTTTCACGGCGCATTCTTTTCACCGACGAATGTTCATTTTCCCGAGAAGGAATGTTTAATGCACACAGTTGGCACTTCTGGGCACACGAAAATCCACATCTCACTAGGGTGAGAGCGTATCAGGAGCGATTTACTATTAATCTATGGGCTGGAATCATTGGTACTACTGTGGTAAAAATTTTAATGCATCTGATAAAATCACTAAACTCCGTTCCTGTTTTTTAGGTGGGGCCGTTTGTGTTACCTGATCACCTTAATGGGGAGGCATATGCTAATTTTCTACGACTAGAGCTTCCGGCGTTGTTGGAAGACGTTCCTTTGAATGTACGGCGGAATATGTGGTTTCAGCACAACGGCGCTCCTCCACATAATTCGATACTTGCACGGCGAACATTGAAAAGAGTCTATCTATCTATGTTAAATAATATACAACACAACATAATGCGACGAGCTAGAACTGGCATT